CCGCCATTTTGTTCAATGTGCTTGTGCTAGGCGTCTCCTCGCTTAGCAACTGTATCTATGGAGGAGAGGGAGGGCTGGGTGGAGCCCGCCGAATGGTGTTCTGTTATTATTGGCTCTGACTGTAACCTCAGTCGCAAGTCATTAAATCCAGCTTTTCGATTGGTCGAGCTCCTCTTTATTTTCCAGTATTTTTGTCGCTCACTTCGTCTGACTGATCTTTTGAGGATAACAGACTACCTTCGACAGAGAGCGAGTTTTACGAGCAGATCTGTTTTTGAAGATTTTTTACACGCTTCACCGATACACATCTACATATACACATCTTCCACTACATCTTTCACATTTAACAAACACACACACACACACACACACACACAACACACAAATTCTCACGGTCAACCTCGGCTGAGTTTGACTGTCTTTTATTCCACCTATCCACGGAACGGCTGCTCATCTCGTCTGTTACAACTTCAGTACGGTAAGTCATGTGTTATCAGCTTATTTGTTGTGTTTTGCTGTTGTTGAGGGAGAAGTTTTGCTCAAACATGCAGCTAAAAAAACTGTTGTGGCTAAGATAGGCGTGCTGAGTTGTTTACACAGGGCCGCTAACAAAGTAGCTAGTGTGCTACTCTGTTAGCGGCCCTGTGTAAACACCAAGCTAGTTGTAACTTCGTTATTCTGTGACTTCACTGCACTCTCGGAGATCACAATGTAGCATTTTGTGGTGGTGGCGGAAGTGTATTGTGTTGTTTCGCGTTCTTTGTCCGCATCGCAGAGGGGCTATTGTCTGATTTTGCGGTCTGTGTCCACATTGCAGTGCAATTATTGTCTTGTTTCGCTGTCTGCGTCGGCATCGCAGAGGGGCTCTTGTCTGGTTTTGCGGTCCGTGTCTGTGTTTTTGGGTTTATTTGTCGTATTTTGCATGCTAACCAAACTGTTGTGGCTAACTAGGCGTGCTGATGTGATGTTTACACAGCGACGCTAACAAAGTAGCTAGTGTGCAACACTGTTAGCTGCGCTGTGTAAACAGTAAGCTAGTTGTAACTTCGTTATTCTGTGACTTCACTAAATTCTTGGAAATCATAATTTAGCATTTGACGGCGGTGGTAGTCTATTTTCTTGATTCGCTTTCTGTGTCTGCATCGCAGACGGGCTCTTTTCTGGTTTTGAAATCTGTGTCGACATTGCAATGCAATATTTTTCTTGTTTTGCTGTCTGCGTCGGCATCGCTGAGGGGCTATTGTCTGGTTTTGCGATCTGTGTCTGTGTTTTTAGGTTTATTGTGGTGTTTTGCTGTTGTTGAGGGAGAACTTCTGCTTAAACATGCATGCTAACCAAACTGTTGTGGCTAACTAGGTGTGCTGATTTGATGTTTACACAGCGACGCTAACAAAGTAGCTAGTGTGCAACACTGTTAGCGGCGCTGTGTAAACATTAAACCAGTTGTAACTTCGTTATTCTGTGACTTCACTAAATTCTTGGAAATCATAATTTAGCATTCGACGGTAGTGGTGGTAGTCTATTTTCTTGATTCGCGTTCTGTGTCTGCATCGCAGACGGGCTCTTTTCTGGTTTTGAAATCTGTGTCGACATTGCAATGCAATATTTTCTTGTTTCGCTGTCTGCGTCGGCATCGCTGAGAGGCTATTGTGTGGTTTTGCGATCTGTGTCTGTGTTTTTAGGTTTATTGTGGTGTTTTGCTGTTGTTGAGGGAGAACTTCTGCTTAAACATGCATGCTAACCAAACTGTTGTGGCTAACTAGGTGTGCTGATTTGATGTTTACACAGCGACGCTAACAAAGTAGCTAGTGTGCAACACTGTTAGCGGCGCTGTGTAAACATTAAACCAGTTGTAACTTCGTTATTCTGTGACTTCACTAAATTCTTGGAAATCATAATTTAGCATTCGACGGTAGTGGTGGTAGTCTATTTTCTTGATTCGCGTTCTGTGTCTGCATCGCAGACGGGCTCTTTTCTGCTTTTGAAATCTGAATCGACATTGCAGTGCAATTATTTTCTTGTTTCGCTGTCTGCGTCGGCATCGCAGAGGGGCTATTGTCTGGTTTTGCGATCTGTGTCTTTAGATTTATTGTGGTGTTTTGCCGTTGTTGAGGGAGAACTTCTGCTTAAACATGCATGCTAAACAAACTGCTGTGGCTAACATAGGCGTGCTGATTTGATGTTTAAACAGCGACGCTAACAAAGTTGCTAGTGTGCAACACTGTTAGCGGCGCTTTGTAAACAGTAAGCTAGTTGTAACTTCGTCATTCTGTGACTTCACTAAATTCTTGGAAATCATAATTTAGCATTTGACGGTGGTGGTGGTATTTCATTTTCTTGATTCGCGTTCTGTGTCTGCATCGCAGACGGGCTCTTTTCTGGTTTAGCGGTGCAATTACTTTCTTGTTAGGGCCCGAGCGTAGCTGCTAAGCAGCTGCGAGAGCCCTATTATTCCCCAAGTGGTTTTTCTTTGTTTCTTTCTTTCTTTCTTCTTTTTCCTCCCCTTTGAACTGGAAAATGGCCCACTTCCCACTGGCGAAAACTCATGAAATTTGGCAGGACGACCGGGCCTGGTGAAAAATTCGATATTCTGAAGTCGCCCAAACAATAAAATGCAAAATGGCTCCATAGCGCCCCCTAAGGTGGAAATTCACACTATTGACTGTCACGCCTGTACGCTTTGTCATATTGACACAAAAATTGACACACATATGTATCTCAATAAGATCTACAAAAAAGTCAGTGCGGCCGTATCTGTCAAAATTACGGTTAAAGGGTTATTTCGCATTTTTTGCCGATCCGCACACATTGGAATTTCGCTAACTCCTCCGAAGGCTTTCGTTCCACCGGCACCACATTTGCTCAGGCCAATCTACACCCCGTGGCCATTAAAAGTTATCAAAATCATGACGCTGCACCCCAAGGTTTAGGTTCTAGGGGGCGCCAAAGATAACACTAAAATCCACATATTTAAAAGTCTTATAACTTTTTATTTTTGTCCTCACTGGCCTCCAAGTTTTCTAGGATGATGCAATGTCCAGCCATCAACACATTTGTGAAGGAATTTTTACTCCCCAAAAGAGCGCCCCCCCATGGCAGGAGAAAAAAGTCCATTTTTTCTTGTCCCCTAAGGTGAAAATACACACTGTTGAGTGTCACGCCTATACGCTTTGTCATATTGACACAAAATTTGACAATCACGTGCCTTGCCTGGTATCATTTTTTTCAGCACAACCTCACCTGTGCGAATTTACAGTTATTTTATCATGTTGACATACTGAATTTACACAATGGACCCAAATTCACACACAAAACATAAAATCCGAGTGGAAAAAAGTAACATTTTTACTGTGAAAACCACAAATATGTGTGATGAACTGTTTTTAAAACTTAAACTTCAAATAAAAATTGTAAACTTCAAAACATATGCAAATTTTTAACAAAGAACATAGTGATTTACCTCTATTTACATCAAAATGCAGGCAATGGCCCAGGCGTTCTTTGTAAAATTATTTACAAAACACTGTATAGTCTCACAAATGTCACTTTTTATTTATGCCACTACAAAAAAACATGATGTAAATGATGCATGATGTAAAACATGATGTAAAAAACTTGTGTAGATCCTCCTCTATGTCAGTCCATGTGTAATTTTTCCATAATTCTTTGTTTTTTGCAGCATTTTTGTTAGTGTAACTGCAGATTGTGCTGACAGTGTCTATGGCACAAAAAAAAAAAAATTAAAATGCCTCAACATGAACCCCTGGTGGTCTCTGAGGCTGAAACCTGCCAACTGCTGCAGCTCTGTCAGCTTCAGTCTCCCATGCAGAGCTCTGAGCGCATGTGTGGCTCTGCACCCTTAGCAGCGTTGCTAACTCCTCAGTAAGGAAAGCCTGCTTCATGTCAGAGTCTCTAAACTCCAGAAGAAGTCGATAAAAGTCCCTTTCTTTCTAAAAAAAAGTCGTTAGGGGGTCTGAAAAGTCATTGAATCTAACAACAAAGTCGCTAGGGTTTGCAACTACGTGTCCCAGACTGCATCCCTGCTGAGAGTCCCTCCCTCGCTTCTCATGTTGCAGGAAGAACGTAAGCGCCCGCCCCTTGTCAATCAGTCACCATATAATTTTGGATTGGTTGTTGTGGTGAAGTTTTCCACCAATAGGAGAGATGTTGTGGTGTGTTTTTTTTTCTCTTGGCAAGCCTTTTCCGCCTGTAAAACCTGTCGCTAATGTCTGCATGCTATGTTTTCCTGTCTCATACAGCGCGATCGAGCGCCGAACGTGATCAAAATAAGCAGAAAAAAAGTATCGCGGACATAATTTATCATAACTCTGGTTTTATTTGGCCTATCAACACAATTTAAAAACTGGTATATAGGTTGAGGTCCTCACTTTTGAGATAAGTTGAAACTGAGAGTCAAAGAGGCTCCGTCTTGCAGATACATCCGGTTAAATATGTCATGTGACTTGAACGCACACACAGACACACACACACACACACACACACACACACACACACACACACACACACACACACACACACACACACACACTCAGAGTCTGGTTTTTAGCACCTGCAAAAACATGCTATTTACATATTTGACAAGAATGCAGAGGCTCCTTTTGCCCCTGAAAAAAATCAAATTTCAAACACAACTTGACTGGTCATTTCTCCAAAAGACAACCATGAAGCTCCATCCAAACCTGAAGCAGGCAGTTGGTGCATGTGTACAGTAACCTGAGGGGAGTGAGGTGACTGCTTCTGAGGAGAACATGAGCAGTGAAGATTCACCTTGGAGCTAGAACAGAGACATGCACATGATTATACAGGGGCAGGGGCTCAAGTTTTTTCCAGTCGTTTATACAATATGGAAATTAATGTGAAATTAAAACACAAAGTATTAATAGAAAGGTAATGACTGTCCTGTGTAGGTGACAGTGATATCCAATAGGCTAGGCACTCACGAGGCTGGCTGTGGCAAGTGTAAGTGAAAGCAACACGCACTGGCAGGAAGAACAGCAAACGCCGATGAAGGAAAAGGGTCTTTGCAGTGATGGGCGTTACCAGAGAGGGCGATGGTCAGAGGACACAAATGGGACGGGGAGGCAGCACGTTGGGGGCGGGGGCGCGACAGCTCTCGGGCCCGCCAGTGCCCCAACGGGGTCCTAGTTATTATTTTTCCTCCGCTTTAAACTGGAAAATGGCCCACTTCCCACTGGCGAAAACTCATGAAATTTGGCAGGACGGCTGGGCCTGGTGAAAAATTCGATATTCTGAAGTCGCCCAAACAAGAAAATGCAAAATGGCTCAATAGCGCCCCCAAAGGTGAAAATTCACACTATTGACTGTCACGCCTGTACGCTTTGTCATATTGACACAATAATTGACACACACATGTATCTCAATAAGATCTACAAAAAAGTCAGTGCGGGCGTATCTGTCAAATTTACGGTTAAAGGGTTATTTCGCATTTTTTGCCGTTCCGCACACATTGGAATTTCGCTAACTCCTCCGAAGGCTTTCGTTCCACCAGCACTACATTTGCTCAGGCCAATCTACACCCCATGGCCATTGAAAGTTGTACAAATCATGACGCTGCACCCCACGGTTTACGTTCTAGGGGGCGCCAAAGATAACCCACAAATCCACATTCTTAAAAATCTTACAACTTTTTATTTTTGTCCTCATTGGCCTCCAAGTTTTCTAGGATGATGCAATGTCCAGCCATCAACACATTTGTGAAGGAATTTTTACTCCCCAAAAGAGCGCCCCCCCCATGGCAGGAGAAAAAAGTCCATTTTTTCTTGTCCCCTAAGGTGAAAATACACATTGTTCAGTGTCACGCCTATACGCTTTGTCATATTGACACAAAATTTGACACACGTGTATCTCAATGAGATCTACGAAAAAGTCAATGGGCACATATCTGTAAAATGTACGGTTAAAGGGCTATCTTGCATTTTTTGCCGATTCGCACACATTGGAATGTGGCTAACTCCTCCTAAGGCTTTCGTTCTACTGACACCAAATTTGCTCAGGCCAATCTACACCCCATGGCCATTCAAAGTTGTACAAATCATGACGCTGCACCCCACGGTTTTAGGTTCTAGGGGGCGCCAAAGATGACCCAAATATCCACATTTTTAAAAGTCTTATAACTTTTTATTTTTGTCCTCACTGGCCTCCAAGTTTTCTAGGATGATGCAATGTGCAGCCATCAACACATCTGTGAAGGAATTTTTTCTCCCCAAAAGAGCGCCCCCCCCCCATGGCAGGAGAAAAAGTCAAGTTTTTCCAGCCCATCGCTTAATGGCTCAAACGCATTGCTCTCCCGCTAAAACCAAAAGGAGGAGCAACTTGCCATTTGGATATGTCCTAGCTGTGTTTGTGCCCTCACTCATGGTCCAGAGTTTTTTCAAATAGGACATGTAGTTTGTCTGCAGCGAGCGTTTTGGTAGAAACTGTGCCTCCCATTCATTATAATGGGAAATGACCAAAGACAGGTGCGCACACCATCTTTGGACCTTGAGTGTGACGCGATCGGGAGGGGGAGGCGGTCGCGCTGGGGGCGGCGCGACACGGCTCGGGCCCGCCAGTGCCCCAACGGGGCCCTAGTTCTTTCTTTCTTTCTTCTTTTTCCTCCCCTTTGAACTGGACGACCGGGCCTGGTGAAAAATTCGATATTCTGAAGTCGCCCAAACAATAAAATGCAAACTGGCTCCATAGCGCCCCCTAAGGTGAAAATTCACACTATTGACTGTCACGCCTGTACGCTTTGTCATATTGACACAAAAATTGACACACACGTAACTCAATAAGATCTACAAAAAAGTCAATGCGGGCGTATCTGTCAAATGTACGGTTAAAGGGTTATTTCGCATTTTTTGCAGATCCGCACACATTGGAATTTCGCTAACTCCTCCGAAGGCTTTTGTTCCACCGGCACCACATTTGCTCAGGCCAAGCTACACCCCATGGCCATTCAAAGTTGTATAAATCATGACACTGCACCCCACGGTTTACGTTCTAGGGGGCGCCAAAGATGACCCAAAAATCCACATTCTTAAAAGTCGTTTTGGCCACTGAGTGGCGCCAAGGGAGTTTTCTATTAACAGCAGACAAAGTAGTTATGGCCACTGAAAGGCACACATTTGTTATATGCTATAATCCTAACATATTTTAATGCTTTTTCTATTTATACCCAATGGATCTAAGCTTTGACTTTCAAAATTTAGGAAGAATATGTTTTTGCAGTAATGACTCCCTTTAACAACCAGAGGTCCTTATATAAAGTTTATGGAAATTTTAGTGAAGGCCTGGGTTTCTTTCCTTGCAAAATGCATAGAAATAATAAAGCTAAACACCATAAAATGGTCTTGGCGTATTAGCAGTGATATAAAATAGTTGTTTGAATATGAATGAACAACAAAAAAAAAAACATCAACAGAGCCTTTTTGAGTTGGGATTCTTTCATTATCACACAAAAACAGACATAGACAGACATCTAAAGGGTAAGGGAATGATCAGCCCTCCTGACTCGCAGATGAATCTTCAAAATTCACCTCAGAAATATGCTTATTATTCTTCTCAGAGTACTGCAGGATACACACACACACAGACACACACACACACACACTCAGAGTCTGTTTTTTAGACACTTGTTCGCACACATTGGAATGTGGCTAACTCCTCCTAAGGCTTTCGTCCCACCGACACCAGGTAGTTTTGGCCACTGAGTGGAGCCAAAGGGAGTTGTCTATTAACAGCAGACAAAGTAGTTATGGCCACTGAGGGGCGCCAAAGGGAGTTGTCTATTAAATCTGATGCTACAGAAAAAGTTAAAAGGCTCAAATTTTTGCTATATTATTGACTCTATGTCTTAAATGGGCTCTTAATGGGTTAAAAACATTATTTTAAATGAAACATTTGCTAGTTCTGAACAGGGCAGAAGTAAAATAAGAGATGTACAAAATAAAATCTGGAAAAAATATTAATTCAATATGATTTTACAGCAGACAAAGTAGTTTTGGCCACTGAGTGGCGCCAAAGGGAGCTGTCTATTAAATGTGATGCTACAGAAAAAGTTAAAAGGCTCCAATTTTTGCTATATTAGTGACTTTATGTCTTAAATGGGAATTTAAAGGGTTAAAAAATTATTTTCAATGAAACATTTGCTAGTTTTGAACAGGGCAGAAGTTAAATAAGAGATGTACAAAAGATCTAATTGATCTCAGCTTTTACCTGTAAAATTTAGGAAGAATAAGTTTTAGCTGTAAGCCCTTTAACAACCAGAGGTCCTTACATAAAGTTTTAGGGAAATTTTAGTGAAGGCCTGGGTTTATTTCTTCGCAAAATGATTAGAAATAATAAAGCTAAACACCATAAAATGGCCTTGTCCTACTAGCAGTGATATAAAATAGTGGTTTGAATATGAATTAAGACCAAAAAAACATCAACAGAGCCCTTTTGACCAGGAATTCCTTTATTTTCACACAAAAACAGAAATAGACAGATATCTAAAGGGTAAGGGAATGATCAGTCATTCTGACTGTCAGATGAATCCTCAAAATTTCATCAGAAACATGCTTCTTATTTTTCTCAGAGTACTGCAGGATACACACACACACACACACACACACACACACACACAGTATGTTTTTTAGTACCTGCAAAAACATGCTATCGCTATATTGACAGGAATGCAGAGGCTTCCTTTTGCCCCTGAAAAAAATCAAATTTCAAACACAACTTGGCTGGTCATTTCTCCAAAAGACAACGATGAAGCGCCATATAAACCTAAAGCAGGCAGTTGCTGCATGTGTACAGTCACCTGAGGGGAGTGAGGTGACTGCTTCTGAGGAGAACATGAGCAGTGAAGATTCACCTTGAAGCCAGAACAGGGACGTGCACATGATTATACAGGGGCATGGGCTCAAGTTTTTTTCCAGTTGTTTATACAATATGGAAATTAATCTAAAATTTAAAGAAAAAGTACGAATAGAAAGGTAACGACTGTCCTGTGTAGGTGATAGTGATATCCAATAGCCATTTCTTTTGTGACAACAAACTATTGTCAACATGACATGATCAAGATGGTAATATTTCAAACACAGATTACCTACATGCTGAAATTAGTATCTACCTAGCTACCTAGCTTCCTATCTATCTATCTATCTATCTATCTATCTGTCTATCTGTCTATCTATCTATTTATTGGTATACAAACTTTATTTCAGACCCAATAAGTCCATGTCATACAAAAAGATTATTATTATTATTATCATTATTATTTTTATTACTGTTATTATTATCATCAATTTGTTAGCCCACACAATAGTAGCAAACTCACAATAAACTTTGTTTCTAAACCTGGAACCTGTACTTTAGACCTGTAGTGAGGAAAATGTGATTCGCCATAAACACGATGCATTTTGTTTTGAAAATAAACCTGGTGTTTTATTTTCTATTTTGTACAGGATTCCCTCTCTGACATGATCTGCTCTGTGCTGAATTGATGCACCATGCTCTGTCTCAGGTAGTTCTATGACAGTGTGGAGCTGCAAGAGACAGAGAAGTGGCAGACTCATCTCACACAAAAAAACGTATCACAAGAAAATGGATACGGTAGAATGCTGTGGAGTTTTTGAACCATGTTTTTGTTTTGTTTTTTTAACTTTTCAAACAGGAGTTATTAAAAGAATTTAAAAAAGGGAAGTTTAATACAAGTCAAAAAGGGCAGGGGTTCAAGCACCTCAGAGCACTATTTGTGTAGCCATTTATGAGCCAGGAGGATTCAGGGGAGAAATATTTGTCAGACATAGAGGGATAATGCAATTTGAGAAGGGGAAACAAATAGGAGAAGGAGGAGTTTGAATCTCTTATGTGCAAAACATTATTATGCATTTAAATCAATATTTTTATCAAAAAACTTTATCACAGATATTTCACTTTGCACCTCATTTTTGGAAATATCACATAGTTTGTTTTTTTCACAGTGAAAAAGCAGGGGTTGTCACGACAAAGGCACTAAAAACGTAAAAATCTACAATTTTTTTTTTAATAAACTTGATATCTATGGATAGGTCTGAAGTTGTTGACTACATATAATGCTTTAAATTAGAAAAAAATGCATGTATAATGTTTTTGCTGCACTGTTATAAGACTGTGCACCTCATTTTAGGAATTATTGCATATTTTGTGTTTTTCCAATTAAAAATATCAGGGGTTTGCTAGACAAAAATGACTAAAACCTAAAAAAAATTATATCTATATTTTAAATAAACTTTACATCTATGGATAGGTCTGAAGTTGTTAACATGATATAATGATTTAAAGCAAAAAAAAAGGCATGTATAATTTTTTACGGCACTTTTATAAGTTTATAAACTTTATACTGGAAACTGTCATTGTGCACTAATAATTATGCATTACAATCATTATTTTTATCAGTTGTTGACATAGTCAGGGCTGTTATATCTTTATCCAAAATCTTTCACTTTGCACCTCATTTTTGGAATTATTGCATATTTTTAGTTTTTCTCATTAAAAAAATTAGGGGTTCTCACGACAAAAGACACTAAATACCTAAAAAATATATATTTTAAATAACCTTTATATGTATGGATAGGCCTGAAGTTGTTGACAAGATATAATGCTTGAAAGTAAAAAGAAATATGAATGTTTGGCCACGAGTGTAGCAAGTGTCAGTAAATTTTAAGGGGTCCTTAAGGGTTACAGAACAACCCTTTATTTACATAATTAAAACACTGTAATATACAGGAAATACAGGCAACAGCCACAAACTGAACTTCTAATAATGTCAGTAACTATGATATATTACAACATTTACACACAATAAACATAAAATCACCCACACGACCACACACAATAAACATAAAATCACACATAATCAGCAATTAACTACAATGGATCTAAAAAAAGACATGTCTCCCACTTCTTCAGAGTCACAGTTATCTTGTAATGTGCACCCCTCCTCTACTACTTCAAGGACACCAGCAATTGCTTTCTCAGCTGGTGTGAGGTCTGTGTCTGCTGCTTCCACTGGTGGTACACCTAAAAATGATTCAAATCAATGTTAATAATGTTTTACAATATCACTTTCAGTTTACATAAGACCAGGACATGCAACATTCCCACATGTGTAAAATGAACACACACACATAACCTTATTGTTGTCCCCGCATTTTGAATTCTATCGCTTTCTTCATCTTTCTAATTACAAACAATGCCACATACTTACTTTTCAATCCTGAGATATTGCTGGCACCCTCACCAGCCCTGTCTTCATCTTCAAAAAAACCAACAGCTTCACCTAAACACATTTAAAACAACACTTAATCAATTATTGATAAACTGACCACATACATCACAACACATACACAACAAAATTCATATGATTCAAAACAGTCAAAAACAAATTACACACATAAAAATACAACAATTACCACTACAATAAATGAATTACATATTACATTAATTCAACGTGTTTAATAACACATTATAATTTTCACCTATATAAAGACAAACATGACTGATAAATACTTACACATGCTGTTAAGACCCACTTGGGCTGCCTCCAACTGCTTTCCTAGAGTGAGGTTGGTTTCTTTTAAGCGTGCAATTTCCTCATTTTGAGATTTTATTGCTCTTTCCAGATAAGCAGAGCGTTCTTCTGCTGCTTTTAGTCGGCGTGCCATCCTTGCTGTCGTGTTGAGTACAAAAGTATGGCACGCCATACTTTCATGATAAAGGGCCACCCTGTCTAGGGTTTCGTCCTTTATTGCATACTGAAACAAAAAACAGACAGGAATAATTAATCATAACTACATCACCAAAAACACAAATTATGCTCATTTGAACCTAAAAACCACTTTAGGACATAACATTCAGACTCCACCTGGAATTAAATACCCTGGGTGTGGTCATTGGAAATACCCTGGGTGTGGTCATTGAGGGCTTCCTCTAAGTTGTTAACTCTTTCAGGTTAACAATTAAATTAAAAGGGGACACACCCAGAGTTGACGACCCAACACCTCCCAGTTGTTTTCTGTGCCCTTTCAGTAAAACACACACATTCACACTAGCAATTATGAAATAGCGAAGCTTCTTGGATAAGAGGCCAATGTTTTCTGAATTCTACACAGTCCAGTTGCATATTGTTTAAGTTTTCAAGATGCTCCACAACAGCACACACATTTAACCACAAATCTTACATTAACTTTCATCAGAACAATAATACACACATAATTAACAAGCAATTCATTTAATGTAACTCCTACATCTACAGAATTTGTGCTCTGATGCACATACATCTCTATAGTGAGCAATGCAGCTGCTACCTACGTAATAACAAAGAAATTTCGTTTTACTGTGTTCATACAAAAACATTCTTCTTCATCATGTCCTTAATACCGGAATACCTATCACTATATATATTCAAAAATTCTCTCCCTATAAAACTATCTTCACGTCACTAGATAATACACCACAACACATGATAACAGTCAAATCAAATCCCGTACAACTTTTTAATTGCCAAACACAAACTTTGCATAAGAACTTCATTCTCTAATCCAATCCAAATAATTTTAATTCACTACTTTAGTCGTGTAACTATAAAGTAGAATCCACATAATTAGTTTGTGTTCTCCATGTACTCACCGACATAACCTGAAAACGGAGTCTGATCTCCCTTACGTCTGAATTTTCAGTAGCACCAGCTGGAAGTTTTACAGGTGAGACCATCTGCAAAATAAAAAAAAACATGTTTGCAACATTACATCAATAGCACATCATCCATTTAGATAACACTTAAGCAACACGGAGAAAAATTGTACTTACTGTAGTTTCCACCGTTGTTCTTCGTAGGTGCAGCTTCACAGTTCTGTTTTACAGATACTGAATTGGTGTAGCTTTACAGTTCTGTTTTAAAGACACTGAACTCTTAAGCACGCACCCCAGCCAATCACACACTGTGCTGATGAACACGTCACAATGTAACACACCTCCTTACCTAATGAACACGTGACAATGCAATAGTATACATATAAATATATATATTTACATATATATATATTTGCTAACACTTCATTGTCATTACCAGATGCCCACTACAACACTTTCTGACAGGTTGAGTTTTTCTTTTTTTGTGTATTTCTATGTTGGGTTATTACAGCGTTACAAATAAACCTGTCGGTAGGCTCTTTTGAGGTAGAAGCTCTGTAAATCGGCGTTGAAAATGGCAGCGACTCTTTCACTGAGCAAAAGACCCATATTAGACGTCTATCCTAAATTTATGCTTCATTTCAACGTTGGGATTCGGGCTATTTCTAGACGTGATTTATACTTCGCCCTCAATTTCATTTTTCGATAACTTTTTATGCAATAAGCAACTGCAATGTGCATAACTGACGTCTGGATTACATTAGTTATGATACCGTGAAAAGATATCCAGCATTGTCTTACTTGGATAAATCATGAGGCATAGTGAGGCTGAAGCCTCAGGGCTGTATTGCCACAGAGGAAAAAGTGCCTAGAAAGTGAATCTCGTTCCATTTCAGTGGGGCAACATACACTGTGATTCATAAAATAGCTCTATTGATAGTAAGAACTAAGAAAAAATATCTACTCATGCCATCCTATCGATTTTTAGTAATTAGTGTTTCAGTGTCGAAGTAGTTCCTTTGTGCGGCGTAGTGCGGCGTAGTGATACATGAACACGCGCAGTCGAATATGCAGAGGGGTGAAGCAATTTTTGTCACGTGGACCAATACGAGGCGAGTCTCGTTCCCATAGTTTCAGAAATACACAAACATGGCGACGAGCGCGAATACCATCGAGACAAGCGAAGAGGAACAAAAGAACAGGAAAAAAGAAAACAGCATTCAAAAGTGCATTAAAAAGGAACGAAATGATGCTATATTCATCTATTATCTGTCCAAAGTGAAGACGTTGTCGACTTTACAAGGACACGTTGGGAAACTTACAGAACTAGTATGAGAAAGTGGTTTCATTTACAGGGTGAGACAAAAGACCAGCCAGAAATGTACATATATGTGAGTAACACAAAAAACGATTATATGGTGCTGCTGTTTTTGCTTGTAGAAACTACTATGTTCATTCTGGCAAGATAAAATCTTTGCGAAATATCATAAATACATCTACCTAACATCTGAAACAGTTATTGGTGCCTTAGTATACACATAAGTGAAATCAGATTATAAAATGTAACACATTTCTTGAAGACAATGTCTCAACTCAAGTGAATTGCACCCAGCACAATGAAATATATACTGTACATTTAGCTAAAAGCTTATGTTTCATACATAAAAATGACATAACCTACAGTGTAATAAAAGCAATAAAATATACATAGCACATCATGGCCATAAATGGCTGAAAGTCAATCAAATTGCTACCACGCTCCCCAAAATTGGAATAATGGAAAAAATGTATCAAGACAAAAAGAAATGCACAAAAGGTCTGAATTAATTCAAAATATGGTGTAAGACATTTATTCAAGCATCACGGTGTTAGAACCTCTGACATTTATCAGTTTCTCCAGAATATGAAAATAAACATCAAAACACAAACGCAGACAAATGTAGAACAAATATAAAAATAATACAAATTTCTGATCTCACTGTAGCAATTCTTTAAACAAAACAAATTGTATAACCATAACAGGCTTTCATATCATGCCTTGCACTTTTCTTTATAATGCTTGCTATATACTTATAATTTAAAATGCCTGAGGTTTTCTACAGTACAAAAGTGAACTGTACACCAGTCTCTGTGCTTTCCTTGAAGATTTTTTTCACTACCTCTTGTTGAATTGAGTTCAGACACACAGTTGTATTTACCCAGTATTTTGGCTACAGCTGGTGGCTAGTGGAACCGTTAAATAACCACCCATAGCTGCAGTACATTCCACAAAATCCTTACTAAAAACTGCCATTTTTTTGCGCGCGTGGGATAGAGTGGGGCCATTAGGTTTGCTTAGTTTAGGGGCCACAGAAGGTTTAATCCGGGCCTGAGCATAGTATAGATGTAAAGATTATTTATATGTATAAATTTATACTTCATTTCAACGTCAGGATTCGGTATTTTTTTAGACGTGATTTAGACGTAAACAATTATACGTCCTTTCAACGTCTATATATAGACCTAATTCAGACAATCAATATTAATCCACAATTCAAGAGTTGATTATTTAAAATGATAACTGGACGTTGCAGAACTGATCTCAATCAATGGAACTACTTTCATCTTGGGAGCGTAGCCAGTGTTTTCGCCATATCCGGTCAAAACACTAATACGAAACAAAACAACAAAAAAACCCCACCTTCAGATCTTAAAGCCTGGGTCCTATTGAGTATTTGACAAGAAAATTGGTCGCTGAAATTCAATGTAAGTATTAGATTTCATGTGGTTTATCAGTCTCGGTAACGCCGACTGCCTCTGTGACAATAATACAGGATCACATGAGCCCTCTCACGTGCCCGCTCACGTGATCCTCCGTGTAACCACTTCGGGTAGATTCTAACTCCGCCAAGAGCGAACTAGTCTGTGACAAAAGTTATCGGTATAACCGCAATACTACGAAATGAGCTACAAAAATCTATTTGGTAGCTCTGCAACAGCCCGACTTTACACCTGTATGGAGATTGTACCGTAATCGGACTAAAACATATAATAATAATAATGCATCAGATTTCATATAGCGCTTTATCAGAGACCCTCAAAGCGCTTTACATTGGATACATCATTCATTCGCTCACACAGTCACACTTTGGTGGTGGTGGAAACATGGCTGCCATTCCGCGCCTACGGCCTCTCCGACCACCACCACCACACAACACTCACAATCATACACCAGTGGAGGACACACACTGGGAGCAAGGTGGGTTAAGTGTCTTGCCCAAGGACACAACGGACAGACTTGGATTAGGGGGGAATCGAACCGCCAACCTTCCGGTCATTGGACGACCGCTCTACCCCCTGAGCTACTGCCGCCCCATGAAAAAGGCTTCAAACTCTGGACCGCACAACATCCTACTGAATCACTGCGCTTTGTTCACACTCGACCTCACCACCATGCAAAACTCCTATTTTGTTCGAACACACCTGAATATTATGCGTAATTCTTCGACTGCATATTGCAGGCCTTGTTGGTACAACTTATGTGAGATATTTAAGCTTTTTCTCAAACATTAATCAATGAAAACATCAGCTACAGCGTTCATTTTCATGTGCCAAGTAAAGCCGCCGCCATTTTGTTCAACGGTGCTTGTGCTAAGCGTAGCGGAGGAGAGGGAGGGCTGGGCGGAGCTTACCGAAAGGTGTACTGTTCTTATTGGCTTTGACTATAACCTCAGTCGCAAGTCATTAAATCCAGCTTTCTGATTGGTCGACCTCCTCTTGCTCCTGTTTATATTCGACTATTTTCGTAGCTCGTGTAGTCTGATTGAACTCTTGAGGACAACAGACTACCTTTGACAGAGAGCGAGTTTTACGAGCAAATCTGTTTTTGAGGATTTTTTACACGCTTCACTGATACACATCTACGAACACAAATCTTGCAATACATCTTTCACATTTAACAAACACACACACAACACAACACACAAATTATCACGGTCAACCTCGGCTGAGTTTGATTTTCTTTTATTCCACCGATCCACGGAGCGGCTGCTCATCTCGTCTTTTACAACTTCAGTACGGTAAGTCATGTGTTTTTACGCTTATTTGTGGTGTTTTGCTGTTGTTGAGGGAGAACTTTTGCTTAAACATGTATGTTAACAAAACTCTTGTTGTGGCTAACATAGGCGTGCTAACTTGATGTTTAAACGGGCCTGCTAACACAGTAGCTAGTGTGCTATGTACGCTTTGTTAGCAGCAGGCATGAAAATCTCTCACCTTTCGGTGAAATTCGTTGTTTTGAGTGAGAAAGGGTGAATCGTGTAGATCCGAGGAGAATTTTTTTTTTTTTTTGGGGGGGTGTGTTGTGCCGTAGAATGCACCCCTTCCGTAGTCTGCCCCTCTAACGGGAGCGCGGTTGAAACGTCTTTGTGAAACGTGCTTATAAATTGTGGTAAACATCCATTGGCTTTGTGGTCTGTTTGTGCCTGTGTGCGTGTTGCGGAGCACAGCTGTTTGATCGTACTGATGCACGTTTGCTAATGCAAAGATGCGACAACGAGAAACATGACTTATCCACGCTGGTGTTGTGCCGTAGAACGCACCCCTGCCGTAGTATACCCCCCTGACGAGAGCGCGGTTGAAAGCACACAACAAGGCGAAATATTCTAAGTTTTCCTTACCGTTGGACGGATTCAAAAGCGTGTGCCTTTTAATGATTTCATTCAGGTTATTCAGAATAGCCAAAAACAATAGCCTTTAATACAGAATATTTGCTGTCACGAAAGTAAATTGTTGTCTACCTTGACTCACCTATTTTTTCCGAGGTTTTTTTTTGCCAAATACGGCCAAGTGAATAAAACACATACTCGTAAAAACGTGTAAAAACTCTGTTAAACGTGCTTGTAAATTGTGATAAACATCCATGGGCTTTGTGGGTCTGTTTGTGCCTGTGTGCGTGTTGCGGTGAACAGCTGTTTGATAAGCTGATGCACGTACCCACGACTGCGCCCCGTGAAACCCTTTTCAAAAACTGTAGTATTTTTATTTTTAGCACTTTAAAGACCACATCCCCTCCCATCTACACCTAGATGACAACAAAATACACTCACCGGCCACTTTATTAGGTACACCTGTCCAACTGCTCGTTAACACTTAATTTCTAATCAGCCAATCACATGGCGGCAACTTAGTGCATTTAGGCATGTAGACATGGTCAAGACAATCTCCTGCAGTTCAAACCGAGCATCAGTATGGGGAAGAAAGGTGATCTGAGTGACTTTGAACGTGGCATGGTTGTTGGTGCCAGAAGGGCTGGTCTGAGTATTTCAGAAACTGCTGATCTACTGGGATTTTCACGCACAACCATCTCTAGGGTTTACAGAGAATGGTCCGAAAAAGAAAAAATATCCAGTGAGCGGCAGTTCTGTGGGCGGAAATGCCTTGTTGATGCCAGAAGTCAGAGGAGAATGGCCAGACTGGTTCGAGCTGATAGAAAGGCAACAGTGACTCAAATAACCACCCGTTACAACCAAGGTAGGCAGAAGAGCATCTCTGAACACACAGTACGTCGAACTTTGAGGCAGATGGGCTACAGCAGCAGAAGACCACACCGGGTGCCACTCCTTTCAGCTAAGAACAGGAAACTGAGGCTACAATTTGCACAAGCTCATCGAAATTGGACAATAGAAGATTGGAAAAACGTTGCCTGGTCTGATGAGTCTCGATTTCCGCTGCGACATTCGGATGGTAGGGTCAGAATTTGGCGTCAACAACATGAAAGTAGGATCCATCCTGCCTTGTATCAACGGTTCAGGCTGGTGGTGGTGGTGTCATGGTGTGGGGAATATTTTCTTGGCACTCTTTGGGCCCCTTGGTACCAATCGAGCATTGTTGCACCGCCACAGCCTACCTGAGTATTGTTGCTGACCATGTCCATCCCTTTATGACCACAATGTACCCAACTTCTGATGGCTACTTTCAGCAGGATAATGCGCCATGTCATAAAGCTGGAATCATCTCAGACTGGTTTCTTGAACATGACAATGAGTTCACTGTACTCAAATGGCCTCCACAGTCACCAGATCTCAATCCAATAGAGCATCTCTGGGATGTGGTGGAACGGGAGATTCGCATCATGGATGTGCAGCCGACAAATCTGCGGCAACTGTGTGATGCCATCATGTCAATATGGACCAAGCTCTCTGAGGAATGCTTCCAGCACCTTGTTGAATCTATGCCACGAAGAATTGAGGCAGTTCTGAAGGCAAAAGGGGGTCCAACCCGTTACTAGCATGGTGTACCTAATAAAGTGGCCGGTGAGTGTATATTTTTTTAGATAATTCGGCACTACTTCGGCCTGTCAAATCATCTGATCAAAGCTGTTAGCGAGCCTGTGTAAACAGTAAGCTAGTTGTAACTTAGTTATTCTGTGACTTCACTTATCTCTTGGAGATCATAATTTAGCATTTTACGGTGGTGGTGGAAGTCTATTGTCTTGTTTCGCCTGCTGTGTCCGCATCGCAGAGGGGCTATTGTCTGGTTTTGCGGTCTGTGTCCACATTGCAGGGGAATTATTGTTTTGTTTCGCTGTCTGCGCCGCATCGCAGAGGGGCTATTGTCTGGTGTTGCGGTCTGTGTCCACATTGCAGGGGAATTATTGTCTTGTTTCGCTGTCTGCGCCGCATCGCAGAGGGGCTATTGTCTAGTTTTGCGGTCTGTGTCTGTTTTTAGGCTTATTTGTGGTGTTTTGCCGTTGTTGAGGGAGAACTTTTGCTTAAACATGCATGCTAACAAAACTGTTGTGGCTAACATAGGCGTGCTGATTTGATGTTTACACAGGGCCGCTAACAAAGTAGCTAGTGTGCTACCTTTTAGCGGCGCTGTGTAAACAGTAAGCTAGTTGTAACTTAGTAATTGGGTGACTTCACTGAACTCTTGCAGATCATAATTTAGCATTTTACGGTGGTGGTGGAAGTCTATTGTCTTGTTTCGCGTTCTGTGTCCACATCGCAGAGGGGCTATTGTCTGGTTTTGCAATCTGTGTCTGTGTTTTTACGCTTATTTGTGGTGTTTTACCGTTGTTGAGGGAGAACTTTTGCTTAAACATGCATGCTAACAAAACTGTTGTGGCTAACATAGGCGTGCTGATTTGATGTTTACACAGCGCCGCTAACAAAGTAGCTAGTGTGCTACTTTGTTAGCGGCCCTGTGTAAACAGTAAGCTAGTTGTAACTTAGTTATTCTGTGACTTCACTGAACTCTTGGAGATCATAATTTAGCACTTTACAGTGGTGGTGGAAGTCTATTGTCTTGTTTCGCTGTCTGCGTCAGCATCGTAGAGGGGCTATTGTCTGGTTTTGCGGTCTGTGTCCACATTGCAGTGGAATTATTGTCTTGTTTTGCTGTCTGTGTCCCCATCGCAAGGGGGCTTTGGTCTGATTTCACGGTCTGGGAATTAAAAAGTTGCTTGCCTACAGAGTAATTTAGTCTTTAGAACCGCCAATGCTTAGTTGGACTTTCTCCTCACTACAAAGGTTCACTTTTCCTCTGCCATACCTGTCTCCTGTCCCTGGGACTGCTGTTTGACTACTTCTCCACAGAATAGGCCTCCTCTCTCTTGCTACACCACCTACACATCAAGAAAAAAACAAATACATTTGAGGGAGAAATGATTCTTTTTTTGTGTTTCTGTTGTCATCACAAATGTGATGTCAAATTAGGTCAGAGGCTAAAAATGTGTTACCCTCACTGTTTAGCAACTCTTTTTGTATTTTTTTGTGCTTATATAACATAACACAAATGTTTAATTGTTGTAGGAAGTTTTACAAATATAACAGGTATTACATCTATTATCTATACTTTCAGATGCCAAAGCTGAAGGGTTGGCGTCGATCACAGGCTGCAACCAAGCAACACGCTCAGCGCGAGTTCCTGATTGTTGGTCCACAAGGCCACAGTGATGACATGTTTACAGGTGTGTATCATTTTTTTTCACGTCACTATATTGGTAACAGTTTCTTATTTCTCTCTATCTAGGAAAATACACATCCAAATCAGGTTTACTGTTTACCTTTTATAATAATACATGTCAATGTTGTCTGTTTGAATAGGCACTGTTGGGACTGGTTATCGCCATCGCGTTAACCAGTGGCCAATATCTGTGTTGACTGGTTGGCAACACAAAGTGGTCATTCCTCCTGAGGTTCCTGACAAGAAGGTATGATACTGACATTGTATTTTACCCTCACAACACATATTTCAGCTGATACAGTATTTAATTAGTACTTCTCCCTTTTTCATCCTAGTTTGTTCTTATTGTTGGTGACTCTCACCTGCGCCCGTTTGTTGATGGGGTTGTGCCATTGCCTGAAGGACGGATGTCCTTTGGGTTCATGTCCACACCAGGGGCCTGTGCTGACGAACTGAGGATTGAGATGGTGCATGCTGCTGTGCCTCGCAATCCTGACTTGGTCATCGTCATGGCTCCTAGCAACAACCTGACAACCCAAGGGTCTCTTGAGAAGTCGTCAACAGATTTTGCTAAACTTCTCTCCACTGCTGTTGGGAGGTGGTTCAAGGTGGGGCTATGATCTCATTAACACATTTTGTAGTATCTCAATCAGTAGTTATGCTCTGTAATAACTCTCCTTGTCCTTCTGGTGTGTTTGCTATTTTTATAGGTAATTGTGTATGACGTTCCACCTCGGCTGAACCACCCTTTAGACCACCAGGAGCTCCTGCGGCAGGAATTCCGTCGAGTCGCAGCACGTATGGGTACGTTTTACAACACTTTAAATTCGCCTTCATGACAAAATTCTAAATGACAATAATATCATCATAAAACCAATCATATAAAACATCTACAAAAAACACAAACAAATTACATGTATTTCTTAGAATACATCACAACTCTGTACATTTTACGGACACGGTGAAAGAATAATTGTCTTTTCTGTTTGGAGTAAAATACACACATCTGTACTAATGCTTCACTTTGTCTCACTTTACATTAACAGGCATTCGATATGTTTGCCCTGCTGCTGATGACTTCCTCCTGAGATGCCTCAAACTGTGGTGCAGGGATTCTGTTAGAACAATCCCTACTCATCTGATGTTTCATATGGACTTCATAATAAATGCACAAATTTTTGCATCATGCAAATTTGTGATCATGAAAATGGTCTTGTCTTCTATATAGGTCCATCTCAGTGATGATGGTGGGTCGCCTATTCTGGGGCAGCGTCTCTGGCATGCGGCCTACACTGAACTGGAGAGAGGTGATCCTGCATCAGTGCTGTCAGTGACGCGCAGGCGCTCGCCCCCCTGAGCACTGTCACACCAAAGGTGGTTGTGAGGGGAGAGGTGCCTGCACCTCAACCATCCAACCCCTTTGAGTGGACAGTGTGTGGAAAGGTGCACAAGGTAAACATAATTCCTGTGTGTGTATATACGTATAGTATATGTATTTAATACAGTAGTGTTAATTCTCAACTTACTTATCACAGCAGAATCTCTCTGGCAACGAGGTGGAGGACTCTGCTCCATGCACGCAGCAGGTTTGTCATCCTTTATATGACACAACTATCATAAAAAACCACTATCATCAGAATTTCTGTATGGATTACACACATTTTCTTTGAAAAGAAACCCTTTTCTAAAGTATTACTTTATTTATTCTATATTTTTTCTCTCTCTCCTTCTCATCCTAGTTGTCAACAGTTGGGTTGCGAGACTGTTTTGTGCGTCTCAACCCTATCCATTTCAGTGCACACCTGCTGGATGCCATGGAGAAGATTTTGCCGTCCCAGCTTCCCAACCCTGTTCCACACGATGATGAGGTCAGTGAAAATGTCAAACTACAGTAGCACTTTGACTGTTCATTCATAAAATGTTTTGTGTTGCACAACAACAATGCTTATAAGAAATATTTTTTCATTCAGATGCCACGTGTGGAACCACGCAGGACTGTGGTTGCATCTCGGAGGATCCCTACCAGGAAGCAGGTTTGTTTCTTCATTAGCACACATGGTGTATTAATATGCAAGCACGCAGAGCTAGGTTTGCATCTAAACCAAGTTTATCATACAGAACTGAAATAATAACATAAAGAAATTTTACTTGGCCCTTAATTTAAAAAAATATTTTTCTTTATTCATACACAAATAAGATGTTAGCATTATCAGTTAATGATTCTACTTTCAACTATAAAAGTACACTTTTTTACAATTTGATGTTTTTATCAATGACAATATATTTATGCACAAACTTTTGTGTGCAGGGAAGGGCCTTGCGTGTCCAGAGCCCAGCTGAGCCGCAGATGACTGAGGTGCCTCCTGCTACAGAAGTCACTTCACCTGAGGTGGACTTGGAGAGGGTGGCAGAGCTCCAGACGTGCCCGGGCGTAGTGACGGTGAACACTGCCATCCTGTCAGCACCCCAGCCAGATGGAGTCACCCAGGTGGAACAGGTAAGTATGCGTAAACGTCCTCTTTCCCCCCTCTTGTGTTTGGTGATTTTGATCGCTCACCTGTGCAGGTTAGCAGTATGGAGACTGAGGCAGTACAGTTTCTGTGCACTAAGATTGAGGGTGAGATGTCTGACCCAGGTTGGGTAAGAGACAGTGTCCAAGGATCATTTCACCAGGGAAGTGATTTATTAAGTAATCACGGAACACAGTGTATGGCAATTGGGCTGGCCAGCGTTGCCAAACACAGTGTCAAAAGCGTTTTCTCATGGGGTGTGCATGATCTTGACACAGCTTTGCTCTGTGGGGATCAACTGTACACATATCTGCGAGATAACGACAAAATCAGTGGCGGGAGTGATTTTTTGTGTATTCCAGATTTGCCTGCTTCACACACAATTGATGGCATGGAGTTTGACTTTGAGTATGGTGATTACATGTCTGGACTCATCAACCAGACTGATGGGTCACCCATTGCACCCGGGTTGACAACATTGCTGCATAGTCTACAAATTCTGCTTGCCAAATATGACACATGCTTTTTGACATTGCATTGCAGCACATCTGTTGTCATTCGTGAGAATGGTGTGTTTGCTGTTGTTGATTCTCATGCTCGAAATGCTTCAGGCCTGGTGGATCCTGATGGCAGAAGTGTTATTACGTATTTCCATAACTTGCAGGAAATGCATACACATGCATTGACCTTGGCTGCATCACAGCATGTGAGCAACCAGGCTTTTGAAGTTGCTGGTGTGCGTGCAATCCCCAGAATGTCAACAATTCAAAGTATGTGTTTGCCATCCAGCTCAAGAGTAAATACTGAAATACTGAGTAAAATGAAGAGTGTCTATGCAGATGTACATCACGAAGTGTCACACTCCAAGCAGGGGTGTTCATCCAGTACATCAGTACATAGGAAGCAAGGCTTGAAACATCAACGCTTTGTGCACGCTCCTGCTGCCAAGAGAGCAAAGACCAACAATTTTGGTGATGATGTATTCATTGTTAAAGACACAAACAACGAGGGTGCAAAAAATAATGATGTTGTGTGCACTGATGATGCAATAAGCCAGACTGACGACGATGTGATGTGTGTTGGTAATGGAGCCCAACAAGATTTAGTGTTTAACCCCCTTCAGTTACAGGTTGCCAAAGTTTTGTGCAACACTTTAGGGATAGAATGTCAGAAAGTTGATGTGGAAGGATTTGTAGCTGGCATATTAGGACCTCCATGCAAGAAGCAGCCTATTGTCGGCGATGGCAATTGCTTCTTCAGAGCTGTGAGTCATGTTTTGTCTGGTAGTGAGAGGTTTCACAGGAAAGTCAGGTTGGCAGTTTGTAAACACATTGAATGTCATCCTGGATCATATGAGCATATTCTGAGAAATGAATTTACCTCTGTCAAAGAATATGTCAACATGTCCAGAATGAGATATGTGGGTAGTTGGGCCACAGAGGTGGAGATTCAGGCTGCAGCAGATTGTTTCGGGGTTAGCATTTTTACCTACATTGACGGTCGATGGCTTCAATACAGCTGTCAAGGTCAACAATAATCAGAACAGGCAGTGTATTTGGAGAACTGTAATAACATCCATTATGAGGCTGTTGTCTGTGTTCGACAACCTAATGTGGACTGTGATTGCTGTGATTTGTGTAAAGGTGCTGTTGCACATAGTACCGACTATGGTTTGACACAGGTGAGCAAAGATGCGCCCTATAACCTCAGGACAGGATGTCAGGACTTCAAGCAACAGACTCATCAGATTTTAAGTCCTTCACATAATGAAAAAAGGTTGTCAAAATATCTTAAAAACAAGAAGTTTTTGCAAATGAAAATTAACTACCACAAAAACTTCTTGGATTACAACAGACGTAACCAAAATGTTAGGAATAGATATAAGCACAATCTGTTGTATCAACAGAAACTCAAGGCTTTAAGTAAGGTCAAATACTTAGATGAGGTGCACAAACAAGATGTTAAATACAGAAGCAAAATTAAGTATAGAGACAATGATACCCACAGACAAATGGTTAAAAACAGAAGCAAGGACAGAAGCAAAATTAAATATAGGGACGATGATACCCACAGACAAATTGTTAAAAACAGAAGCAAGAACAGAAGCAACATTAAATATAGGGACGATGATACCCACAGACAAATTGTTAAAAACAGAAGCAAGGACAGAAGCAACATTAAATATAGGGACGATGATACCCACAGACAAATTGTTAAAAACAGAAGCAAGGACAGAAGCAACATTAAATATAGGGACGATGATACCCACAGACAAATTGTTAAAAACAGAAGCAAGGACAGAAGCAACATTAAATATAGGGACGATAATACCCACAGACAAATTGTTAAAAACAGAAGCAGGGAAATAAGTAAGGTTAAATATGGAAAAGCTGCATTTAAGCAGAAAAAATAACACTTACTAAGGAAAAATTACCACCAGAATACAGAACACTTCCTTGCATCTAAGAAACTTGGAATATTAGAAAGGAAGGTAAAGCTAGAACAGATAGACTTTGTAATTGAGCAGTTTTTGGAAAAAATCAAACATGGGCCAGCATTTGTGTGCAGTGTGTGCCATAGACTGTTGTTTCAACACCAGGTTTTGAGTTGTAATATAGACAAGTACAGTACCAATACAAATACAGCTCGTGTCGCAGCTAGATGTATTAAAGATGTGTTTGTGCATAAATGTATGTCTTCTTGTGCCGTACCATGTGTTTTGAAAGCTTCCCCTCATGGTAGTTTGTGGATTTGTCATTCATGTCATGGCAAGGTCAGTAAAGGTGAGGTGCCAGCTGAGAGGGCAACCAACAATCTGACCGTTGATCCGATCCCACCTGAGTTGGCTTGTTTAAATAGCCTAGAGTCGCATTTGATTGCACTCCATATCCCCTTTTTCAAGATGGTAGCTCTTCCTAGAGGGGGTCAAAATGGTGTTCATGGGCCGATTGCATGTGTTCCAGCCAACATTGTCCAAACCAGTAACGCGTTGCCACGTTCAAACATGGAAGGTTCAGTTATTCCTGTTAAACTGAAGCGCAAGCTTACTTATAAAGGACATTATGCATACGAGTATGTTGACCCTATGCATATCAAGAAAGCACTGCATTATCTGAAAGAAAACAATCCCTTCTACAAAGATGTGCAGTTCAATGATGACTGGATAAATGAATTTTGCAGGGATGAGAGTGTTGACAAAGAGCAGCAGAGTATTGTTGATGAACAGGGAGGATCAAATGCAGAGAGCTCTGAGGCATCTGCAGCTGAGAAGGCTGCAGCTGAGGCAGCTGCAGCTGAGGAAGAACTTCTGCATGATCGGCAGCAGCATTGCATGTTTCAAGACACATGCTCAATGCCTGTTGATATTGGCCAGGAAGCGCTGGACCAATATTTTGATGGTGTTTTGAACTTGGCTCCAGCTGATGGACAGAACCCTGTAAAGGTTTTGACAACAAAGGAGAACGAGGCCAAGTGTTTCCCCGTGTTGTTTCCAAAAGGCCGTGGAACATTTTTTGATAACAGAGATTTTTCTCTGACTCTGTTCCGCTATTTGAGCAACAGGCTATATCATGCTGATGGTAGGTTTGCGCATAATATTGAGTTTATTTTTTATGCTTGTTACATGCTTGAGTTACATCAAGTCATGTCCAGTGTGTCAATTGCATTGAGAAAAGGGAAAGCCAGTAAGGTTAGAACAAAGATTAGTGATGTATTGAAAGATGAAGAGAACCTGCGTGACCTTTTAAATCATGATGATGGGTACCGTTTTTAAAACCTGTAAGGGGTACTCCAGCATTTTGGCAGGGAATTCAGAAGGATTTGTTAGCATGCTTGCGACAGCTTGGCAAACCTGCATGGGTTTGTTCATTTTCTGCAGCAGATTTGAGGTGGAAGGAATATTTAGAGAACATTCTTAGGGCAGAGGGGCGAACACAGACATTTGAGGACCTGGAGTGGGCAGACAAGTGCGACCTGTTGCGTCGTAATCCTGTACTCGCCGCTCGCATGTTTGATTATCGCTGGCATCTGTTTTTGAAAGAGGTGTTGATGTCTCCAGCAAATCCGATTGGCAAAATCCTCGACTACTTTTACAGGGTGGAGTTCCAGCAGCGTGGCTCTCCACACGTTCATTGTCTGTTTTGGGTTGAGAATGCCCCTGTAATTGATGTGAACACAGATGATGAGGTTGTTCAGTTTATTGATAAATATGTTTCATGTGAACTACCTAATAACACTGATGATTTACATGAGGTTGTTTCTTCAGTGCAGCAGCATTCAAAGCGGCACTCCAAAACTTGTAAAAAAGGTGGAAAACAGTGCCGCTTCAATTTCCCAAAACCGGTGTCTGATAGGACATTCATTTCCAGGGCGTATAAGGAAGTTGAGATGGAGTGCGTGTGTCAGCGCAACGTCCATAACGTGGTAGAACAGTGCACTTGTGGCAAGGAAGAAAATGAGAAGAAGCACAAGCAGGAAGGGGAATTCGCTGTTAAGGTTTTTGAATTAATAGCTAAAGCGTTGTCAGACGAGAACTGCACAATTCAAACTGCAGATGAGCTATTTGCGAGTATAGGTATACGACAAGAGACATTTGAGGCAGCATACAGGAGGTTAGGGAAAAAGACAGAGGTGATAATGCGACGCCAGGTTTGTGATACGTGGATAAACCCACATTCCAAGACTCTGTTAAAAGCTTGGAATGCAAACATGGACATCCAGTATGTGACTGATGCTTATGCTTGTGTAGTCTACATCATTTCATACATCTCTAAAGCAGAAAGAGAGATGGGGTTGATGTTGGCAAATGCACAGCGGGAGGCATCCAAGGAAGACAACCTCAGTGCCAAACAGGCTTTGAAAAAGCTAGGCAGTGTTTACCTTCACAACCGAGATGTTGGAGCTCAGGAGGCAGTCTACAAGCTCAGCAACATGCACTTAAAAGAGTGCTCTCGGAAGGTGGTTTTTGTACCAACAGGTGACAATGTTGTCAGGATCAGCAAGCCATTGACTGTGTTAAAAGACATGGCTGCTGAATCCACAGAACAGATGTGGATGATCAACTTTGTTGACCGTTATAAAAACAGACCCAGAGATCATGTATTTGAAGGCATGTGCCTTGTCCATATTGCTGCTGAGTATCGTGTGCTCTACAAAGGTGAAAAATCAAAAAACCGAATTAAACTTGATAACGGCTGTGGGTTTGTGTTGAGAAGAACCCGTACGCAGCCTGCTGTTGTAAGGTACGCAAGATTCTCTGAGACTAAAAGTCCAGAGTTATTTCACCAAAGCATTTTGCAGCTGTTCCTTCCGTATCGGACAGAAGAACAGCTAAAGCCAGAGGGATTTGTCACTTTTGAAGACTTCTACAAAACTGGCCGTGTCATCATTTCTGATGGACAGCTAAGTTCAGTGAAGTCAGTTGTGGACTCGAATCGCTGCAATTATGAAATAGATGCCGATGACTTAGATGAGGTTTTTGATGCTGTGAATTTTGATGGTCCTGTAGAAGATGCGTGGGGGCAGTTGTTCCCACAGCAAGAAATTGAACGACTGGAGTCAATCCAGGAAAGGGCAGAGCAGATAGAGGTAGACAATGACCCAGTGGAACATATTCCTGATCTGGCTGGGGGTGTAGAGCAGGCTAAAGTAACTAAGTGCAACAATTTAAGTAGAAGTGAGGGATTGGCATTGTGCAGGTCTTTAAATGATGACCAGATGCGTGTGTTAAACAAGGTCCATCAGTGGTGTGTTGTTAAAGCAGCAGGTAGAAACCCAGACCCCTTTGATGTGTTTGTAACAGGTGGTGCTGGCGTTGGAAAATCGCATTTAATCAGAGCCATTCAATACGAGGCCACAAGGTTATTGTCACCCATGTGTCGACAACCTGACAATATAAGTATTTTGTTGACTGCACCAACAGGGATTGCTGCATATAATCTGCATGCAACCACCCTGCACAGTACATTTAGCATAGGGAAAGATGTTCGCCTCCCTTATGTGCCAATAGGTGAAGAAAAGTTAAACACATTGAGAATGAAATATTGTGATCTCCAAATCTTGATAATTGATGAAATTTCTATGGTGGATCACAATATGCTCACTTATGTCCATGGTCGACTTCGCCAAATTAAACAGACAGGCACTCACACTCCATTTGGAAATGTGAGCGTCATGGCAGTGGGGGATTTTTATCAGTTGCCTCCGGTGAAAGGCAAACCGTTATACATGGAACCACTTGGAGTTGATCTTTGGAGCACTCATTTTAAGGTTGTTAAGTTGACAAAAGTAATTCGCCAGACAGACGATGATTTTGCCGGACTACTGAATCGAGTTCGGACCCATCCAAAAGACTCAGACATGTTGCAAAGTGATATCACCACTTTGCAACAGCGAGAAACTGGCGAAGAGTGCTCAGGTTTGCATATATTTGCCACAAATAGCCAGTTCAATGAGCACAACTTTGAGCAGCTGCAAAGAACATGTCCAGATTACCATGTAATACAGGCTCAGGATTATATAAACAACTAAAAAACAGGCAAACTGGAATTGAAAAAGGGATATCATACACTAACGTATAACACGTGTTTAGATGCAGAATTGTTGTTGGGTACTGGGTCACGTGTCATGTTGACAAAAAACTTGGATTTGGCTGACGGCTTAGTTAATGGTGCATGTGACACAGTAACAGATGTAGTTTGTGTTGAAAATAATAAGTTTCCTCTGTGTATTTTTGTGAAATTTGATGATGAAGCAGTTGGTGTTGAGAGGAGGAAACAGTCAGAAAGGGGTTTCAGATCATCTTGTTGGTTCCACATCTATTGCACCGGAGGAAGAAAGAGTGACAAAGAAGGGAGGTATGCGCCGTCAATTTCCGCTTCGTCTCGCCTGGGCCTGTACTGTACACAAAGTACAAGGCCTCACAGTTGACACAGCCATAGTTAGTATGAAGAAGGTGTTTTCTGCTGGTCAGGTTTATGTTGCGTTGAGTCGTGTCAGGACTCTTATGGGATTGATCATTCAAGATTTCAATCCAAAAAAAATCTATTGTCCGCCAGAAATTGCTCAGGCCACTTCAAGGATGGTTTCGTTCCTAGAGCCTGTCACCTGGCAAGGGAGAGTGGAAGACACTTTGACAGTGTTCCTCATGAATGTTCAGGGTTTGAGACGCCATGTGTCTGACTTGGCTCAGCACACACAGCATTTGCAGCCAGAGTGCATTGCTGTGACTGAGACGTGGTTGCATCCAGGTTGTTCTGCGGAGACACTCGAGATAGCCAACTACTCTCTGCATAGTTGTCCACGAGCTCTGGCATATGATGGTCAAACTGCCCCTTTTGCCTCTTTGCAGGCAAAAGAACATGGGGGAGTTGCAATGTATTGTGGTGGAATTATGCAGTTTGCAATCATCAAGGTGCCTTGTTTCAATGTGGAATGTTTGGTGTACAACTGCATAAACCTAAACATTTTCCTAACAGTCATATATCGGCCTCCAACCTACCCCATGACACTATTCAAAGAAAATATTAACAAACTACTCCAATGGCTGGAACAAATTGGCAAAAACATTATTATCATGGGAGATTTCAACGATGACATATTGAAGTCATCTTCAATTTGCATTTTTTCATCTTCATATTTTAGCGACCATGAAGGTATTTACTGCAGCTTTAAAATTTGTGATTAATCATGTACACTGCTGTTTTTGATATTATTAATGCTTTTCATAGAAAAGTAGATTTGAGAGTGTTTTAGCAGGTTCCCAAACAGCTGGCAGATGGATCAATTTACAACTCCTGGACAAACCATGATGTCAAGGCGAGTGACCACTTCAGAACATCGTAAGTAATGATTTGGATGGACATTTATAATGATTGTATGCAAACTAACATGTGATAACCTCTCCACTTCATTTACACTTGCAATTATTCTGAACATCACAACTTGACTACAAAGAATGAAAACATTAGCAATGTGCCTAGTTACTGTTTCTCCAATATGATGACTTCTTCATTTGTCAGCATGTAACTGATGTGATCTCTCCTCTCCTCAATGTTTCAACAAATATACCATACATCTTATGATTGCTCCAGCTGAAGACTGACCAGCCCATCATTACTCCACCTTTGGTGAGATGAGACCCTGATGGATTACTGAAACAATAATCAATTGGTAAGTGTGACTTTCAATTTATACTTAACTATTTTCATTCATAAACTATACTACTTGTGTAAGCACGCAATGTGTCTCTTCCTCAGAAAGGATGCATACAAAAGTGGTATATGATTGTAATTACAATGAATTCTAACTGTGTGATTATGTAACTGATGTGTCATGTCTTCACAACATGTAACCACGTATTTATCCCATGACAACACCATCACAGGAGATATCAGCCACTGCCAACTCCAGCCAGAAACTAATGCATGCTAAGCAGGTGTGTTATAACTATATGTTGATTGATTCTCATTATGTGAACATGTAACTAATATATTGTCTCTTCTTTACAGCCTGTGACCAACCACTCAACCCATGTAGCAATCAAGACAACCCTGGATGTGAAACCCACACATTCCTCACAGGAAAGTTTCCTTATCTGGCCCCAGGAAACAGGATATAAATCTTTCCAGACTCGTTTACACTTCAGGTTACCTAAATGACCCAACCGGAGGCTGACTAAACCTCTGACTCTTCATGATTGGTCAATTCGGAGAACAGAGACAGAGTTTTTATTACCTTTCAAACTGACTCCATCGCTGACCATCTAAATAAACATTGACGTCTCAACCCAGATCTCCCATTTGAGATTTAGCGTCTTAAAGTGTGTGAACACACGGACCTCAGGATAAGGGGGGACACTGACCTCCAGACCTCGGTCGTAAAACCCTGCTCGACCATGCACTGATAAAGACTACATTCCGTTGGTGAAAGAATACAAATGACTGATCATGACATCTTATGCATTCAGCAATGTACTAATCTGTCTAATCATGAAATTTGTGTTAAAATGAGATGTTTCCCATTTTTCCATGTGCTTCAGAAGCCGAGTTATAGAATAAATCCTTTATTCTTTAGTTTCTTTAGACCAACAGCTTTTCAGACTGTTTCATGAACTGTTAAGAGTTAAATTTATTGACTATGGATCATAACTTACTCTATGAACACAGAAATAGTTTAGAAATGTTTGGTTTATATTGTAGATGTTTATTTAGTATTTTTAACCATTAGGTGGTTATAATGTCATTGAATAATCTGAATGTGAGTATTTAGAATCCATTATTAATCATGATGAAGTTCATTCACATGTGTTTACTCTTTTGTTGTTCACAGTTTTCCATGTGTTACATGATTGGTCAATTTGGAGAACAGAGACAAAGTTTTTATTACCTTATTACCTGTTATTACCTGTTTATTAAATAAACATTAGTGCCTCAATCATGGTCTCCCATTTGAGATTTACCTCTTAAAGTGTGTGAACATACGGACCCCAAGATAAGGTCTGAGGAACAGGACACTGACCTCCAGACCTCGGTCGTCAAACCATGATCAACCATGTTCAACCATGTACTGATAAAAACTGCAAACCTTTGGTGAAAGAATACAATTGACTGATCATGACATCTTATGCATTCAGCAATGTACTCATCTGTCTAATCATGAAATTTGTGTTAAAATGAGATGTGTCTCATTTTTCTATGTGCTCCAGAAGCCAAGTTATCACTCTGACAGGATAAATCCTTATTCTTTAATTTCTTTAGACCAACAGCTTTTCAGACTACTTCATGAACTTTTAAAAGTTAAATTTGTTGAGTATGAATCATAACTTTACTCTAAGTAACAGAAATAGTTAAGGAATGTTTGGTTTATATTTTAGTCATTTATTTAGTATTTTTAACCATTAGATGGTTATAATGTCATTGAATAATCGGAATGTGAGTATTTAGAATCCATTATTAATCATGATGAAGTTCATTCACATGTGTTAACTCTTTTTGTTGTTCACAGTTTCTATATGTTGCTATCTGTTTCATTTCAGAGTAATTTAGCATGTTCAATGTGATACTTAAAACATAATGAGAATGTTTGATGTGATCCTACACTTCATTCATATGTGTTTAGTATCAAATTATTTATCATGAAACCTAGCATTCAATGATATTAATCATAGTGAGTGAGTATCAGATCTGACTCTTTTGCCAGCCAAAAGAATAAGTTAGATCAAATAATCAGAGATTCCACGACCCCTCCTTTCTCCTCACACACACACGCCAGAGACACTCCCAGTGTGAGAAGATAAAACCAGTGAAGTGGGGTTGCTCACTCTCTTGTCTCTTTTCTTTCTCTCTAGTCTTCTGCTGACTCTCTTGTCCCTGGCTCTTATGCCCCTTCTCTTCTGCCCACACCCTTCTGTGGTGCGTTTTTTTGTTTTCTCTTAGAACTTTTTCTTAGTCTTCTAAGTTTTACGCCACGTGTTGATTCACAGTGATTTTTCTTTAACGTCGTCTTTGTTCAAGTTTTGAAACTTCAACTTTTTGTGCACATAGCAATTCAAGATTAAGCCTTTGATTGATTTTTCTTTAATTTCGCGAAGCCATTTTTGAAAGTTTTCTCTGCTCGAGTCTCTTTTTCTGAGTTTTCTGCGTGATTAAAAGTCACCTCTGAACGCAACCCAGCAGGCCCAGGTCATCCTCTGTGCCAGAGTTTTTAAGTGAGACCAAAGAAGTACCCAAACGAGCATCCACAGGATCCACAGGCGCTGGCTTTGCTTCGGGCCCGAGTACTGCAACTCCTGGCTCATCCTTCGGCTGACTTCAGTCGTCTTCTGAGCTGAACCGCTCGAACCGCCAGTAGCCCGGACCTTCGGAACCTGCTCCATCTTCTCCAAGGACCAGTCTCACTTAAGTATGCAAACCTCCAGAGCTCTAAAGAGGGCTGGTGCTGTCTCCTGTGTTCAACTCAGATATCCTCTTATTCTGGTAATCTTAGATTCCTCCAAATCCACATCCGAGTTTATCTCGACACCAAAGTTAGTGTAGGTTAATATGTTAGCGCATATTCACTCACTATCATTAACTTTAGTGCTCCTAGCCTGACTCAGAATCTTTATTTATTCACCTATTGTTATTTTATCCTCATTATCTTATCATCATGTATTGCATGTGTGTTGTACCATCATTTATCCTGTAATAAACAGATCATTATTTTTCTAAGTTCCTGTCTGTTAGTGTTCTTCCAGAAGTGGAGTCCCTGAAATTAGAATTTCGACTTAAGATATGAGACTGATTAATTAAAACTGACTTGATGTTTGATTTCTGAATTAAACTTTTGTTTCTTTATTTTCCCACCATTAAGGGTGGGTGGTGCCCCTTTCAACGAGTGCATAAATGTCATAATATGAGATTATTAATCTCCAGACATTTATTATAAATTCAAATCGCTACAGTATTATTTTGGTGCGGCCTTGTGAGGCTCATTTCAAATCGCTACATATATTTTGGTGCGACCGTGTGAGGCTCATTTCAAATCACTACACCCGCCACTACTTCAGGGATCAGCCTATGACAACTCCACCCAAAAAGGGATGCAGCACACACTTCACATTTACCAGAAATTGTTGCTTTTTAATTGTTTCTCAGCTTTTCTGTAATAACAACTCGCATAATGTAATTTAATATTACATTTTGATATTTAATTTGTATTTCCTTTGTATCTAAATTTGTATTATATGTGTTGCAATGTATTTTAAATATATGAATTTTGTATGCATGGTCACACCATTTTTGATAACCTACTCTAGGATTACAAACAAAACTATCCATGGTTAACTCTGGTGCATTTACATGCCTTTTAACTTTATTAATTGACATGTTTATCACTGTGCACTGTCCCTGATAACTAAATAAATAATAAATAAAATAAATCATGTCTAATCATTTATTTATATTACAAATTATCCACTGTGCTTGTACATGAATTACTTCATTTTACCATTCAAACATCTTGAGTTATTGTACTGACTTTCAGTGAGAAGTTTGTATTCCAATAGTGGACTGTCTACTTTGTTATCAGATGTACAGACAAATGTACTGCCTTTTTTTTTGGCCACTGAGTGGCACTACAGGAACAAAATTTATCCTGGCTGTATTATTGATCACAAAGTTCTTTTTTAGCAAGCGTTTTGGTAGATACTTGGCATGCTGCTGCAAAGCTTCACATTTCAGGTGAGAAACTGGACTCGCTTGGAGACACAGGGCATCTTCAAAGAAAATACAACAAATCTACAAACTACACAATCATCTCAGACTGTATGAGAGCTAATCTCTAAACTCACTAAAATCTGTAAACCAAACATATTTCAAGACAACTGATCCGCTCTACTACAACAATCAAAAACATAAATAAAAAAGGCTGACACAACTACAGCAGAGTATCAAGACAACATTAAGTTGTCTTTCTTTTAAGATTTAGATATTAAAATTGTAAATTTAGCACAATAAAGTCATAAGGTATATAAAGTCATAAAACTACTTTTGTGGAGGAGGAAATGACTGAACCTGGCCATCTGCAGGGTTACCGCTCGATGTATCAGCGGGTAATTCACAGACTTCTAGTGGTTTCTGTACAGACAATCAAACTGATGATGATCAACATTTGTGATCCAGAGTGGGTCAAGCTCAGAGGAGTACCACATCTCTGACACCATCACTAGCCTACACCTGCAGAGACAACAACACCTTATGGCATATGGATTCATATCATAAACTAAAGCCCAATGTCATCCACGAATATTTACAACTGCATGAACAAATATACCCTCAGCATATTCATTTCTGACTCCACAAAACTAGCAATTTCCTTCTAGTACACCTGTTTTTTTTTTCCACGTGAAAAACCACTAGTTCTTATATATTCTTTTTTAAGTCTTTATACTTATACCAATGTTATGCTGATGTGACAGAGGATGAAGTATCTCCTTGTTTGTGAAACCTATACTGAATCACAATTCCTTCAAATGCTTCATGGCCCTAATTTTAACAAGTGTCCTCTATTATAAAACGCAACTTTAAAACTTTTTTGTCATAAATTAATGACTTTTTTCTCATACATTGTATGAAAGAGTATGATGGCCATATTGAAATTTAAGACCTAAAAGACTTCAAAATTTAAGTCGTGCATTTACGATCGTAACGTCATTAATTTATGAGAATAAAATCATAAGGTTCCCTGTTATTTCAGAGAAGACTTGTTAAAATTAGGGCCATGAAGCATTTGAAAGAACTGTGCTTCAGAAAATGTTTCACAAAAAAGGAGATACTTCATCCTCTGGCACATCAGCATCACTTTGTCATACATATAAAGACTTAAAAAAGAATATCTGAGAAACACATCTTTCTTACAGGGAAAAAAACTGGTGTACTTGAAGGAAATGCAGCTTTTGTAAGGCAGAAATTAATATGCTAAGGATACATCTGTCAATGCAGCCGTGAATATCTGTGAATGACATTGAACTTTACTTTATGATATGAATCCATATGCCAAAATAAGGTGTTGATGTCACTGCAGGCATAAATTACCACCAATGCCTGAAACGTGGTGCTCATCGAAACTCAACTCCCTCTGCATCACAAATGTTGATCATCATCAGTTTGATTGTTTCCTACATCCACAAATAAACCTGCACATAACCAGCTTCAGTAATTTCCCCCTTCACAAAGGCACCTTTATGACTTTCAATACCTTATGACTTCTTTCTCCTAAATATACAACTTTAATCTCTAAACCTTAAAAGAATAAAAAACATAAATGATGTCCTAATCCTCTGCTGTAGTTGTGTCAGCTTTCTTATTTCTAATGTTTTTAATTGTTAAATCAGAGCAGATCATTTGTCTCTAAATCTATAGTGTTTGGTTTACAGATTTTCGTGAGCTCAGACATCATGATCTCAGATAGCCTGAGTTGACTCTCTGCTGTTTTTGGATTTCTTGTGCTTTCTTTTAAGCTACACTGTGTTTCCAAGCAAATCCAGCCTCTCACCTGAAATGCACAGCTGTGCAGCAACACACACAGCATTCTGGAAAACCAACAAAACTAAAGCATGCACGCTTGAAAGATGCTAAGCGCACTTAACATTTCTTACCATCTCATGCCAAATGAGACACCATACGCACCGTCGTGATGTCATGCACACTTCAATGCACCATTCAACAGTGCAGAAGTGCACTTAGCCCGCTGCAATCTCTAAAATGAAACACAGCCCTTGACTGTGACGTCACAGTTTGAGATACAGTTCGGCTGCTCCTACTGTCTCTCACGCTCTGCTTCACGGATCATCAAAGAATGTACACGTGTGTAATGAGCACATATTGAATGTTTATTATATTAACTATGTTCATTATTAGAAGAAATAACAACAACAGTCTTTTTGGACAACATTTCTTTTTATTACAGAATTAGAATAATGAAAGCATAGTCCAATGAAACCATTCAAGTGATGTCATACCCCATAATTTATTAAGATGTTGGCTAGTCTGGGCATTTCTTCATTCATCAGGTTTCCTGCATGCATCCTAACAGAGCACATCAGTAGCAGTGAATGATAAGTATGAGTGTGTCATTGTGTAAGAAAAGAAAGTCGTTTACTTACACATCGATAGAAAACAAGTGGTTGAGCACAGCACGCAAACAAAGCTTTGCCACGACAATGGAACTTCCCAAGTAGCCGATACCAAGGTCACACAATCATGGCGACACGGCTCGGGCCCGCCAGTGCCCCAACGGGGCCCTAGTTCTTTCTTTCTTAGGGCCCGAGCGTAGCTGCTAAGCAGCTGCGAGAGCCCTCTTGTTCCTCGATGGGTTCTTCTTTCTTCTTTCTTTCTTTAGGGCCCGAGCCACCTGCAACGCAGTGGCATAGGCCCTATTATTCCTGTATGAGTTTTTCTTTCTTCATTCTTTCTTTCTTAGGGCCCGAGCCAGCTGCAGAGCAGCCGGGCGTAGAGCCCTATTATTCCTGTATGGGTTCTTCTTTGTTTCTTTCTTAGGGCCCGAGCCACCTGCAACGCAGTGGCGTAGGCCCTATTATTCCTGTATAGGTTTTTCTTTCTTTCTTATTTTTCCTCCCCTTTGAAGGGGAAAATGGCCCACTTCCCACTGGCGAAAACTCATGAAATTTGGCAGGACGACCGGGCCTGGTGAAAAATTCGATATTCTGAAGTTGCCGAAAAAATAATATGCAAAATGGCTCCATAGCGCCCCCTAAGGTGAAAATTCACACTATTGAGTGTTACGCCTGTACACTTTGTCATATTGACACAAAAATTGACACACACGTGTATCTCAATAAGATCTACGAAAAAGTCAATGCGCGTTTGTCTGTCATGATCAATGTACAACTAAAGGGCTATTTCGCATTTTTTGCAGATTCGCACACATTGGAATTTCGCTAACTCCTCCGAAGGCTTTCGTTCCACCGGCACCACATTTGCTCAGGCCAATCTACACCCCATGGCCATTAAAAGTTATTCAAATCATGACGCTGCACCCCACGGTTTAGGTTCTAGGGGGCGCCAAAGATAACCCTAAAATCCACATTTTTAAAAGTCTTATAACTTTTTATTTTTGCCCTCACTGGCCTCCAAGTTTTCTAGGATGATGCAATGTCCAGCCATCAACACATTTGTGAAGGAATTTTTACTCCCCAAAAGAGCGCCCCCCCATGGCAGGAGAAAAAAGTCCATTTTTTCTTGTCCCCTAAGGTGAAAATACACATTGTTGAGTGTCACGCCTGTACGCTTTGGCAAAATGACACAAAAATTGACACACACATGTATCTCAATAAGATCTACAAAAAAGTCCATGCGCGCGTATCTGTCTAATGTACGGTTAAAGGGTTATTCCGCATTTTTTGCCGATTCGCACACATTGGAATTTCGCTAACTCCTCCGAAGGCTTTCGTTCCACCGGCACCACATTTGCTCAGGCCAAATTACACCCCATGGCCATTAAAAGTTATTCAAATCATGACGCTGCACCCCACGGTTTACGTTCTAGGGGGCGCCAAAGATAACCCAAAAATCCACATTTTTAAAAGTCTTTTAACTTTTTATTTTTGTCCTCACTGGCCTCCAAGTTTTCTAGGATGATGCAATGTCCAGCCATCAACACATTTGTGAAGGAATTTTTACTCCCTAAAAGAGCGCCCCCCCATGGCAGGAGAAAAAAGTCCATTTTTTCTTGTCCCCTAAGGTGAAAATACACATTGTTGACTGTCACGCCTGTACGCTTTGGCAAAATGACACAAAAATTGACAATCATGTGTATCTCAATTAGATCTACGAAAAAGTCAAAGAGCGCGTATCTGTATAATGTACGGTAAAAGGGCTATTTTGCATTTTTTGCCAATTCGCACACATTGGAATTTCGCTAACTCCTCCTAAGGCCTTCGTCCCACTGACACCAAATTTGCTCAGGCCAATCTACACCCCATGGCCATTCAAAGTTGTAAAAATCATGACGCTGCACCCCACGGTTTACGTTTTAGGGGGCGCCAAAGATGACCCAAATATACATTACAGTAGACAAAGTAGTTTTGCCCACTGAGTGGCGCCAAAGGGACTTGTCTGTGGAGTCTGTGAGTCACTATTGGCCGTTTTTGACTACTTTAGATTTTACCTTTATATTTCCTCTTACAAAATTTTTACCTTGCCTTGCCTGGTATCATTTTTTTCAGCACAACCTCACCTGTGTCAATTTACAGTTATTTTATCATTTTGACATACTATATTTACACATTGGACCCAAATTCACACAAAAAACATAAAATCCGAGTGGAAAAAAGTAACGTTTTTACTGTGAAAACCACAAATATGTGTGATGAACTGTTTTTAAAACTTAAACTTCAAATAAAAATTGTAAACTTCAAAACATATGCAAATTTTTAACAAAGAACATAGTAATTTACCTCTATTGACATCAAAATGCAGGCAATGGCCCAGGTGTTCTTTGTAAAATTATTTACAAAACACTGTATAGTCTCACAAATGTCACTTTTTATTTATGCCACTACAAAAAAACATGATGTAAATGATGCATGATGTAAAACATGATGTAAAAAACTTGTGTAGATCCTCCTCTATGTCAGTCCATGTGTAATTTTTCCATAATTCTTTGTTTTTTGCAGCATTTTTGTTAGTGTAACTGCAGATTGTGCTGACAGTGTCTATGGCAAAAAAAAAAAAAAAAAACTGAAAATGCCTCAACATGAACCCCTGGTGGTCTCTGAGGGTGAAACCTGCTAACTGCTGCAGCTCTGTCAGCTTCAGTCTCCCATGCAGAGCTCGGAGCGCATGTGTGGCTCTGCACCCTTAGCAGTGTTGCTAACTCCTCAGTAAGGAAAGCCTGCTTCATGTCAGAGTCTCTAAACTCCAGAAGAAGTCGATAAAAGTCACTTTCTTTCTAAAAAAGTCGTTAGGGGGTCTGAAAAGTCATTGAATCTAACAACAAAGTCGCTAGGTTTGCAACTACGTGTCCCAGACTGCATCCCTGCTGAGAGTCCCTCCCTCCCTTCTCATATTGCAGGAAGAACGTAAGTTCCCGCCCCTTGTCAATCAGTCACCATATAATTTTAGATTGGTTGTTGTGGTGAAGTTTTCCACCAATAGGAGAGATGTTGTGGTGTGTTTTTTTTTTCCTTTGGCAAGCCTTTTCCGCCTGTAAGACCTGTCGCTAATGTCTGCATGCTATGTTTTCTTGTCTCATACAGCGCGATCGAGCGCCGAACGTGATCAAAATAAGCAGAAAACAAGTATCGCGGACATAATTTATCATAACTCTGGTTTTATTTGGCCTATCAACACAATTTAAAAACTGGTATATAGGTTGAGGTCCTCACTTTTGAGATAAATTGAAACGGAGAGTCAACGAGGCTCTGTCTTGCAGCTACATCCGGTTAAATATGTCATGTGACTTGAACGCACACACACACACACACACACACACAGACACACACACACACGCACACACACACACTCAGAGTCTGGTTTTTAGCACCTGCAAAAACATGCTATTTACATATTTGACAAGAATGCAGAGGCTCCTTTTGCCCCTGAAAAAAATCAAATTTCAAACACAACTTGACTGGTCATTTCTCCAAAAGACAACCATGAAGCTCCATCCAAACCTGAAGCAGGCAGTTGGTGCATGTGTACAGTAACCTGAGGGGAGTGAGGTGAGTGCTTCTGAGGAGAACATGAGCAGTGAAGATTCACCTTAGAGCTAGAACAGAGACGTGCACATGATTATACAGGGGCAGGGGCTCAAGTTTTTTCCAGTTGTTTATACAATATGGAAATTAATGTGAAATTAAAAAACAAAGTATTAATAGAAAGGTAATGACTGTCCTGTGTAGGTGACAGTGATATCCAATAGGCTAGGCACTCACGAGGCTGGCTGTGGCAAGTGTAAGTGAAAGCAACACGCACTGGCAGGAAGAACAGCAAACGCCGATGAAGGAAAAGGGTCTTTGCAGTGATGGGCGTTACCAGAGAGGGCGATGGCCAGAGGACACAAATGGGACGGGGAGGCAGCGCGTTGGGGGGGGGACGCGACACAGCTCGGGCCCGCCAGTGCCCCAACGGGGTCCTAGTTCCTGTATAGGTTTTTAGGGCCCGAGCGTAGCTGCTAAGCAGCTGCGAGAGCCCTCTTGTTCCTGCATGTTTCCTTCTTTTGTTATTATTAGGGCCCGAGCGTAGCTGCTAAGCAGCTGCGAGAGCCCTCTTGTTCCTGCATGTTTCCTTCTTTAGGGCCCGAGCCAGCTGCAGAGCAGCCGGGCGTAGGCCCTATTATTCCCCAAGTGGTTTTTCTTTGTTTCTTTCTTTAGGGCCCGAGCCAGCTGCAGAGCAGCCGGGCGTAGGCCCTATTATTCCCCAAGTGGTTTTTCTTTGTTTCTTTCTTTCTTTTTAGGGCCCGAGCGTAGCTGCTAAGCAGCTGCGAGAGCCCTCTTGTTCCTGATGGATTCTTCTTTTGTTATTATTAGGGCCCGAGCCAGCTGCAGAGCAGCCGGGCGTAGAGCCCTATTATTCCTGATGAGTTTTTCTTTCTTCTTTCTTTCTTTCTTTCTTTCTTTCTTCTTATTTTTCCTCCCCTTTGAAGGGGAAAATGGCCCACTTCCCACTGGCGAAAACTCATGACATTTGGCAGGATGACCGGGCCTGGTGAAAAATTCGATATTCTGAAGTCGCCCAAACAATAAAATGCAAAATGGCTCCATAGCGCCCCCTAAGGTGGAAATTCACACTATTGACTGTCACGCCTGTACGCTTTGTCATATTGACACAAAAATTGACACACACATGTATCTCAATACGATCTACAAAAAAGTCAGTGTGGGTGTATCTGTCAAATGTACGGTTAAAGGGTTATTTCGCATTTTTTGCCGATCCACACACATTGGAATTTCGCTAACTCCTCCGAAGGCTTTCGTTCCACCGGCACCAAATTTGCTCAGGCCAATCTACACCCCATGGCCATTCAAAGTTGTACAAATCATGACGCTGCACCCCACGGTTTAGGTTGTAGGGGGCGCCAAAGATAACCCAAAAATCCACATTCTTAAAAGTCTTATAACTTTTTATTTTTGTCCTCACTGGCCTCCAAGTTCTCTAGGATGATGCAATGTCCAGCCATCAACACATTTGTGAAGGAATTTTTACTCCCCAAAAGAGCGCCCCCCCATGGCAGGAGAAAAAAGGCCATTTTTTCTTGTCCTATAAGGTGAAAATACACATTGTTGAGTGTCACGCCTGTACGCTTTGTCATATTGAAACAAAATTTGATAATCACGTGTATCTCAATAAGATCTACGAAAAAGTCAATGTGCACGTGTCTGCAAAATGTACGGTTAAAGGGCTATTTCGCATTTTTGGTTGATTCGCACACATTGGAATGTGGCTAACTCCTCCTAAAGCTTTCGTTCCACCGGCACCAAATTTGCTCAGGCCAATCTACACCCCATGGCCATTAAAAGTTGTACAAATCATGATGCTGCACCCCACGGTTTACGTTCTAGGGGTCGCCAAAGATAACCCAAAAATCCACATTCTTAAAAGTCTTATAACTTTTCATTTTTGTCCTCACTGGCTTCAAAGTTTTCTAGGATGATGCAATGTCTAGCCATCAACACATTTGTGAAGGAATTTTTCTCCCTAAAAGAGTGCCCCCCCATGGCAGGAGAAAAAGTCAAGTTTTTCCTGCCCATCGCTCAATGGCTCAAACACATCGCTCTCTCGGAAAAAAACGAAAGGAGGAGGAACTTGCCATTTGGATATATCCTAGCTGTGTTTGTGCCCTCACTCATGGTCCAGACTTTTTTCAAATAGGACATGTAGTTTGTCTGCAGCAAGCGTTTTGGTAAAAACTGCGCCTCCCATTCATTATAATGGTAAATGACCACAGACAAGTGCGCACACCATCGTTGAACCTTGAGTGTGACGCGATCGGGAGGGAGAGGCGGTCGTGTTGGGGGCGGCGTGACACAGCTCGGGCCCGCCAGTGCCCCAACGGGGCCCTAGTTATTATTTTTCCTCCGCTTTAAACTGGAAAATGGCCCACTTCCCACTGGCGGAGACTCATGAAATTTGGCAGGACGACCGGGCCTGGTGAAAAATTCGATATTCTGAAGTCGCCCAAACAATAAAATGCAAAATGGCTCCATAGCGCCCCCTAAGGTGGAAATTCACACTGTTGACTGTCACGCCTGTACGCTTTGCCATTTTGACACAAAAATTGACACACACATGTATCTCAATAAGATCTACAAAAAAGTCAGTGCGGGCGTATCTGTCAAATGTACGGTTAAAGGGTTATTTCGCATTTTTTGCCGATCCGCACACATTGAAATTTCGCTAACTCCTCCGAAGGCTTTCGTTCCACCGGCACCACATTTGCTCAGGCCAATCTACACCCCATGGCCATCGAAAGTTGTACAAATCATGACGCTGCACCCCACGGTTTAGGTTCTAGGGGGCGCCAAAGATAACCAAAAATCCACATTCTTAAAAGTGTTATAACTTTTTATTTTTTTCCTCACTGGCCTCCAAGTTCTCTAGGATGATGCAATGTCCAGCCATCAACACATTTGTGAAGGAATTTTTACTCCCCAAAAGAGCGCCCCCACATGGCAGGAGAAAAAAGTCCATTTTTTCTTGTCCCCTAAGGTGAAAATACACATTGTTGACTGTCACGCCTGTACGCTTTGTCATATTGACACAAAAATTGACACACACATGTATCTCAATAAGATCTACGAAAAAGTCAATGGGCACGTATCTGTAAAATGTACGGTTAAAGGGCTATTTTGCATTTTTTGCTGATTCGCACACATTGGAATGTGGCTAACTCGTCCTACAGCTTTCGTCCCACTGACACCAAATTTGCTCAGGCCAATCTACACCCCATGGCCATTCAAAGTTGTAAAAATCATGACGCTGCACCCCACGGTTTACGTTCTAGGGGGCGCCAAAGATGACCCAAATATCCATATTCTTAAAAGTGTTATAACTTTTTATTTTTGTCCTCACTGGCCTCCAAGTTCTCTAGGATGATGCAATGTCCAGCCATCAACACATTTGTGAAGGAATTTTTACTCCCCAAAAGAGCGCCCCCCCATGGCAGGAGAAAAAAGGCCATTTTTTCTTGTCCTATAAGGTGAAAATACACATTGTTGAGTGTCACGCCTGTACGCTTTGTCATATTGAAACAAAATTTGATAATCACGTGTATCTCAATAAGATCTACGAAAAAGTCAATGTGCACGTGTCTGCAAAATGTACGGTTAAAGGGCTATTTCGCATTTTTGGTTGATTCGCACACATTGGAATGTGGCTAACTCCTCCTAAAGCTTTCGTTCCACCGGCACCAAATTTGCTCAGGCCAATCTACACCCCATGGCCATTAAAAGTTGTACAAATCATGATGCTGCACCCCACGGTTTACGTTCTAGGGGTCGCCAAAGATAACCCAAAAATCCACATTCTTAAAAGTCTTATAACTTTTCATTTTTGTCCTCACTGGCTTCAAAGTTTTCTAGGATGATGCAATGTCTAGCCATCAACACATTTGTGAAGGAATTTTTTCTCCCTAAAAGAGTGCCCCCCCATGGCAGGAGAAAAAGTCAAGTTTTTCCTGCCCATCGCTCAATGGCTCAAACACATCGCTCTCTCGGAAAAAAACGAAAGGAGGAGGAACTTGCCATTTGGATATATCCTAGCTGTGTTTGTGCCCTCACTCATGGTCCAGACTTTTTTCAAATAGGACATGTAGTTTGTCTGCAGCAAGCGTTTTGGTAAAAACTGCGCCTCCCATTCATTATAATGGTAAATGACCACAGACAAGTGCGCACACCATCGTTGAACCTTGAGTGTGACGCGATCGGGAGGGAGAGGCGGTCGTGTTGGGGGCGGCGTGACACAGCTCGGGCCCGCCAGTGCCCCAACGGGGCCCTAGTTATTATTTTTCCTCCGCTTTAAACTGGAAAATGGCCCACTTCCCACTGGCGAAAACTCATGAAATTTGGCAGGACGACCGGGCCTGGTGAAAAATTCGATATTCTGAAGTCGCCCAAACAATAAAATGCAAAATGGCTCCATAGCGCCCCCTAAGGTGGAAATTCACACTGTTGACTGTCACGCCTGTACGCTTTGCCATTTTGACACAAAAATTGACACACACATGTATCTCAATAAGATCTACAAAAAAGTCAGTGCGGGCGTATCTGTCAAATGTACGGTTAAAGGGTTATTTCGCATTTTTTGCCGATCCGCACACATTGAAATTTCGCTAACTCCTGCGAAGGCTTTCGTTCCACCGGCACCACATTTGCTCAGGCCAATCTACACCCCATGGCCATCGAAAGTTGTACAAATCATGACGCTGCACCCCACGGTTTAGGTTCTAGGGGGCGCCAAAGATAACCAAAAAATCCACATTCTTAAAAGTGTTATAACTTTTTATTTTTTTCCTCACTGGCCTCCAAGTTTTCTAGGATGATGCAATGTCCAGCCATCAACACATTTGTAAAGGAATTTTTACTCCCGAAAAAGAGCGCCCCCCCATGGCAGGAGAAAAGAGTCCATTTTTTCTTGTCCCCTAAGGTGAAAAAACACATTGTTGACTGTCACGCCTATACACTTTGTCAAAATGACACAAAATTTGACACACACGTGTATCTCAATAAGATCTACGAAAAAGTCAATGGGCACGTATCTGTAAAATGTACGGTTAAAGAGCTATTTCGCATTTTTTGCCGATTCGCACACATTGGAATGTGGCTAACTCCTCCTAAGGCTTTCGTCCCACCAACACCAAATTTGCTCAAGCCGATCTACATCCCATGGCCATTCAAAGTTGTAGAAATCATGACGCTGCTCCCCACGGTTTACGTTCTAGGGGGCGCCAAAGATGACCCAAATATCCACATTCTTAAAAGAAGGCAGGAGAAAAAGTCAAGTTAACCCTGCCCATCGGTCAATGGCTCAATCGCATCGCTCTCCCAGCAACACCGTAAGGAGGAGCAACTTGCCATTTGGATATATCCTAGCTGTGTTTGTGCCCTCACTCATGGTCCAGACTTTTTTCAAATAGGACATGTAGTTTGTCTGCAGCGAGTGTTTTGGTAGAAACTGCGCCTCCATTCATTATAATGGGAAATGACCACAGACAAGTGCGCACACCATCTTTGGACCTTGAGTGTGACGCGATCGGGAGGGGGAGGCGGACGCACTGGGGGTGGCGCGACGCGGCTCGGGCCCGACAGTGCCCCACCGGGGCCCTAGTTATTATTTTTCCTCCGCTTTAAACTGGAAAATGGCCCACTTCCCACTGGCGAAAACTCATGAAATTTGGCAGGACGACCGGGCCTGGTGAAAAATTCGATATTCTGAAGTCGCCCAAACAATAAAATGCAAAATGGCTCCATAGCGCCCCCTAAGGCGAAAATTCACACTATTGACTGTCACGCCTGTACGCTTTGTCATATTGACACAAAAATTGACACACACGTGTATCTCAATACGGTCTACGAAAAAGTCAGCGCGGGCGCATCTGTGAAATGTACGGTTAGAGGGTTATTTCGCATTTTTTGCCGATCTGCACACATTGGAATTTCGCTAACTCCTCCGAAGGCATTCGTTCCACCGGCACCACATTTGCTCAGGCCAATCTACACCCCATGGCCATTCAAAGTTGTACAAATCATGACGCTGCACCCCACAGTTTACGTTCTAGGGGGCGCCAAAGATAACCCAAAAATCCACAGTCTTAAAAGTCTTATAACTTTTTATTTTTGTCCTCACTGGCCTCCAAGTTCTCTAGGATGATGCAATGTCCAGCCATCAACACATTTGTGAAGGAATTTTTACTCCCCAAAAGAGCGCCCCCACATGGCAGGAGAAAAAAGTCCATTTTTTCTTGTCCCCTAAGGTGAAAATACACATTGTTGAGTGTCACGCCTATACACTTTGTCATATTGACCCAAAATTTGACAATCACGTGTATCTCAATAAGATCTACGAAAAAGTCAATGGGCACGTATCTGTAAAATGTACGGTTAAAGGGTTATTTCGCATTTTTTCCCGATCCGCACACATTGGAATTTCGCTAACTCCTCCTAAGGCTTTAGTTCCACCGCCACCAAATTTGCTCAGGCCAATCTACACCCCATGGCCATTAAAAGTTGTACAAATCATGACGCTGCACTCCACAGTTTAGGTTCTAGGGGGCGCCAAAGATAACCCAAAAATCCACATTCTTAATAGTCTTATAACTTTTTATTTTTGTACTCACTGGCCTCCAAGTTTTCTAGGATGATGCAATGTCCAGCCATCAACACATTTGTGAAGGAATTTTTACTCCCGAAAAGAGCGCCCCCCCCATGGCAGGAGAAAAAAGTCCATTTTTTCTTGTCCCCTAAGGTGAAATAACACATTGTTGACTGTCACGCCTATACGCTTTGTCAAAATGACACAAAATTTGACACACACGTGTATCTCAATAAGATCTACGAAAAAGTCAATGGGCACGTATCTGTAAAATGTACGGTTAAAGGGCTGTTTCGCATTTTTTGCCGATTCGCACACATTGGAATGTGGCTAACTCCTCCTAAAGCTTTCTTCCCACCAACACCAAATTTGCTCTAGCCGATCTACATCCCATGGCCATTCAAAGTTGTAAAAATCATGCCGCTGCACCCCATGGTTTACGTTCTAGGGGGCGCCAAAGATGACCCAAATATCCACATTCTTAAAAGAATCCACATCCCCCCCCACCAAGGCAGGAGAAAAAGTCCAGTTAACCCTGCCCATCGCTCAATGGCTCAATCGCATCGCTCTCCTGGCAACACCGTAAGGAGGAGCAACTTGCCATTTGGATATATCCTAGCTGTGTTTGTGCCCTCACTCATGGTCCAGACTTTTTTCAAATAGGACATGTAGTTTGTCTGCAGCGACCGTTTTTGTAGAAACTGCGCCTCCCATTCATTATAATGGGAAATGACCACAGACAAGTGCGGACACCATCTTTGGACCTTGAGTGTGATGCGATCGGGAGGGGGAGGCGGTCGCGCTGGGGGCGGCGCGACGCGGCTCGGGCCCGACAGTGCCCCACCGGGGCCCTAGTTTCTTTTTCCTCCCCTTTGAACTGGAAAATGGCCCACTTCCCACTGGCGAAAACTCATGAAATTTGGCAGGACGACCGGGCCTGGTGAAAAATTTGATATTCTGAAGTCGCCCAAACAATAAAATGCAAAATGGCTCCATAGCGCCCCCTAAGGTGAAAATTCACACTATTGACTGTCACGCCTGTACGCTTTGTCATATTGACACAAAAATTGACACACATATGTATCTCAATAAGATCTACAAAAAAGTCAGTGCGGCCGTATCTGTCAAAATTACGGTTAAAGGGTTATTTCGCATTTTTTGCCGATCCGCACACATTGGAATTTCGCTAACTCCTCCGAAGGCTTTCGTTCCACCGGCACCACATTTGCTCAGGCCAATCTACACCCCGTGGCCATTAAAAGTTATCAAAATCATGACGCTGCACCCCAAGGTTTAGGTTCTAGGGGGCGCCAAAGATAACACTAAAATCCACATATTTAAAAGTCTTATAACTTTTTAATTTTGTCCTCACTGGCCTCCAAGTTTTCTAGGATGATGCAATGTCCAGCCATCAACACATTTGTGAAGGAATTTTTACTCCCCAAAAGAGCGCCCCCCCATGGCAGGAGAAAAAAGTCCATTTTTTCTTGTCCCCTAAGGTGAAAATACACATTGTTGAGTGTCACGCCTATACGCTTTGTCATATTGACACAAAATTTGACAATCACGTGTATCTCAATAAGATCTACGAAAAAGTCAATGCGCGCGTATCTGTCAAATGTACGGTTAAAGGGTTATTCCGCATTTTTTGCCGATCCGCACACATTGGAATTTCGCTAACTCCTCCGAAGGCTTTCTGTCCACCGGCACCACATTTGCTCAGGCCAATCTACACCCCATGGCCATTAAAAGTTATTCAAATCATGACGCTGCACCCCACGGTTTAGGTTCTAGGGGGCGCCAAAGACAACCCTAAAATCCACATATTTAAAAGTCTTATAACTTTTTATTTTTGTCCTCACTGGCCTCCAAGTTTTCTAGGATGATGCAATGTCCAGCCATCAACACATTTGTGAAGGAATTTTTACTCCCCAAAAGAGCGCCTCCCCATGGCAGGAGAAAAAAGTCCATTTTTTCTTGTCCCCTAAGGTGAAAATACATATTGTTGAGATTCACGCCTATACGCTTTGTCATATTGACACAAAATTTGACAATCACGTGCCTTGCCTGGTATCATTTTTTTCAGCACAACCTCACCTGTGCGAATTTACAGTTATTTTATCATGTTGACATACTGAATTTACACAATGGACCCAAATTCACACACAAAACATAAAATCCGAGTGGAAAAAGTAACATTTTTACTGTGAAAACCACAAATAGGTGTGATGAACTGTTTTTAAAACTTAAACTTCAAATAAAAATTGTAAACTTCAAAACATATGCAAATTTTTAACAAAGAACATAGTGATTTACCTCTATTTACATCAAAATGCAGGCAATGGCCCAGGCGTTCTTTGTAAAATTATTTACAAAACACTGTATAGTCTCACAAATGTCACTTTTTATTTATGCCACTACAAAAAAACATGATGTAAATGATGCATGATGTAAAACATGATGTAAAAAACTTGTGTAGATCCTCCTCTATGTCAGTCCATGTGTAATTTTTCCATAATTCTTTGTTTTTTGCAGCATTTTTGTTAGTGTAACTGCAGATTGTGCTGACAGTGTCTATGGCACAAAAAAGAAAAAAATTAAAATTCCTCAACATGAACCCCTGGTGGTCTCTGAGGGTGAAACCTGCTAACTGCTGCAGCTCTGTCAGCTTCAGTCTCCCATGCAGAGCTCTGAGCGCATGTGTGGCTCTGCACCCTTAGCAGCGTTGCTAACTCCTCAGTAAGGAAAGCCTGCTTCATGTCAGAGTCTCTAAACTCCAGAAGAAGTCGATAAAAGTCCCTTTCTTTCTAAAAAAAGTCGTTAGGGGGTCTGAAAAGTCATTGAATCTAACAACAAAGTCGCTAGGTTTGCAACTACGTGTCCCAGACTGCATCCCTGCTGAGAGTCCCTCCCTCCCTTCTCATGTTGCAGGAAGAACGTAAGCGCCCACCCCTTGTCATTCAGTCACCATATAATTTTGGATTGGTTGTTGTGGTGAAGTTTTCCACCAATAGGAGAGATGTTGTGGTGTGTTTTTTTTTTCTTTTGGCAAGCCTTTTCCGCCTGTAAGACCTGTCGCTAATGTCTGCATGCTATGTTTTCCTGTCTCATACAGCGCGATCGAGCGCCGAACGTGATCAAAATAAGCAGAAAAAAAGTATCGCGGACATAATTTATCATAACTTTGGTTTTATTTGGCCTATCAACACAATTTAAAAACTGGTATATAGGTTGAGGTCCTCACTTTTGAGATAAGTTGAAACGGAGAGTCAACGAGGCTCCGTCTTGCAGCTACATCCGGTTAAATATGTCATGTGACTTGAACGCACACACAGACACACACACACGCACACACACACACACACACACACACACACACACACACACACACACACACACACACACACACACACATCAGAGTCTGGTTTTTAGCACCTGCAAAAACATGCTATTTACATATTTGACAAGAATGCAGAGGCTCCTTTTGCCCCTGAAAAAAATCAAATTTCAAACACAACTTGACTGGTCATTTCTCCAAAAGACAACCATGAAGCTCCATCCAAACCTGAAGCAGGCAGTTGGTGCATGTGTACAATAACCTGAGGGGAGTGAGGTGAGTGCTTCTGAGGAGAACATGAGCAGTGAAGATTCACCTTGGTGCTAGAACAGAGACATGCACATGATTATACAGGGGCAGGGGCTCAAGTTTTTTCCAGTCGTTTATACAATATGGAAATTAATGTGAAATTAAAACACAAAGTATTAATAGAAAGGTAATGACTGTCCTGTGTAGGTGACAGTGATATCCAATAGGCTAGGCACTCACGAGGCTGGCTGTGGCAAGTGTAAGTGAAAGCAACACGCACTGGCAGGAAGAACAGCAAACGCCGATGAAGGAAAAGGGTCTTTGCAGTGATGGGCGTTACCAGAGAGGGCGATGGCCAGAGGACACAAATGGGACGGGGAGGAAGCACGTTGGGGGGGGGGGGGGGGGCGACACGGCTCGGGCCCGCCAGTGCCCCAACGGGGTCCTAGTTAGGGCCCGAGCCAGCTGCAGAGCAGCCGGGCGTAGGCCCTATTATTCCCCAAGTGGTTTTTCTTTGTTTCTTTCTTTCTTTTTTCTTTTTCCTCCCCTTTGAACTGGAAAATGGCCCACTTCCCACTGGCGAAAACTCATGAAATTTGGCAGGACGACAGGGCCTGGTGAAAAATTCGATATTCTGAAGTCGCCAAAACAATAAAATGCAAAATGGCTCCATAGCGCCCCCTAAGGTGGAAATTCACACTATTGACTGTCACGCCTGTACGCTTTGTCATATTGACACAAAAATTGACACACACATGTATCTCAATAAGATCTACAAAAAAGCCAGTGCGGCCGTATCTGTCAAAATTACGGTTAAAGGGTTATTTCGCATTTTTTGCCGATCCGCACACATTGGAATTTCGCTAACTCCTCCGAAGGCTTTCGTTCCACCGGCACCACATTTGCTCAGGCCAATCTACACCCCGTGGCCATTAAAAGTTATCAAAATCATGACGCTGCACCCCAAGGTTTAGGTTCTAGGGGGCGCCAAAGATAACACTAAAATCCACATATTTAAAAGTCTTATAACTTTTTATTTTTGTCCTCACTGGCCTCCAAGTTTTCTAGGATGATGCAATGTCCAGCCATCAACACATTTGTGAAGGAATTTTTACTCCCCAAAAGAGCCCCCCCATGGCAGGAGAAAAAAGTCCATTTTTTCTTGTCCCCTAAGGTGAAAATACACATTGTTGAGTGTCACGCCTATACGCTTTGTCAAAATGACACAAAAATTGACACACACATGTAACTCAATAAGATCTACAAAAAAGTCCATGCGCGCGTATCTGTCAAATGTACAGTTAAAGGGTTATTCCGCATTTTTTGCCGATCCGCACACATTGGAATTTCGCTAACTCCTCCGAAGGCTTTCGTTCCACCGGCACCACATTTGCTCAGGCCAATCTACACCCCATGGCCATTAAAAGTTATTCAAATCATGATGCTGCACCCCATGGTTTAGGTTCTAGGGGGCGCCAAAAATAACCCAAAAATCCACATTCTTAAATGTTTTATAACTTTTTATTTTTGTCCTCACTGGCCTCCAAGTTTTCTAGGATGATGCAATGTCCAGCCATCAACACATTTGTGAAGGAATTTTTACTCCCCAAAAGAGCGCCCCCCATGGTAGGAGAAAAAAGTCAATTTTTTCTTGTCCCCTTACATAAAAATACACATTGTTGAGTGTCACGCCTGAACGCTTTGTCATATTGACACAAAAATTGACAATCATGTGTATCTCAATTAGATCTACGAAAAAGTCAAAGAGCGCGTATCTGTATAATGTACGGTTAAAGGGCTATTTTGCATTTTTTGCCGATTCGCACACATTGGAATGTGGCTATCTCCTCCTAAGGCTTTCGTCCCACCGATACCAAATTTGCTCAGGGCAATCTACACCCCATGCCCATTCAAAGTTGTAAAAATCATGACGCTGCACCCCACGGTTTACGTTCTAGGGGGCGCCAAAGATGACCCAAAAATCCACATTCTTAAAAGTCATTTTGGCCACTGCAGGAGTACAGAGTACTGCAGTTCTAGGGGGCGCCAAAGATGACCCAAAAATCCACATTCTTAAAAGTCTTTTTGGCCACTGCAGGAGTACAGAGTACTGCAGGATACACACACATATACACACACGCCAACATACACACACACACACACACACACACACACACAGACACACACACACACTCAGAGTCTGTTTTTTAGCACCTGCAAAAACATGCTGTTTACATATTTGACAAGAATGCAGAGGCTTCCTTTTGCCCCTGAAAAAAATCAAATTTCAAACACAACTTGACTGTTCATTTCTCCAAAAGACAACCATGAAGCTCCATTTCAAACCTGAAGCAGATAGTTGGTGCATGTGTACAGTAACCTGAGGGGAGTGAGGTGACTATTTCTGAGGAGAACATGAGCAGTGAAGATTCACCTTGGAGCTAGAACAGGGACGTGCACATGATTATACAGGGGCAGGGGCTCAAGTTTTTTCCAGTCATTTATACAATATGGAAATTAATGTGAAATTAAACCACAATTATGTGTGATGAACTGTTTTTAAAACTTAAACTTCAAATAAAAATTGTAAACTTCAAAACATATGCAAATTTTTAACAAAGAACATAGTTATTTACCTCTATTTACATCAAAATGCAGGCAATGGCCCAGGCGTTCTTTGTAAAATTATTTACAAAACACTGTATAGTCTCACAAATGTCACTTTTTATTTATGCCACTACAAAAAAACATGATGTAAATGATGCATGATGTAAAACATGATGTAAAAAACTTGTGTAGATCCTCCTCTATGTCAGTCCATGTGTAATTTTTCCATAATTCTTTGTTTTTTGCAGCATTTTTGTTAGTGTAACTGCAGATTGTGCTGACAGTGTCTATGGCACAAAAAAAAAAAAATTAAAATGCCTCAACATGAACCCCTGGTGGTCTCTGAGGGTGAAACCTGCTAACTGCTGCAGCTCTGTCAGCTTCAGTCTCCCATGCAGAGCTCGGAGCGCATGTGTGGCTCTGCACCCTTAGCAGCGTTGCTAACTCCTCAGTAAGGAAAGCCTGCTTCATGTCAGAGTCTCTAAACTCCAGAAGAAGTCGATAAAAGTCCCTTTCTTTCTAAAAAAAAGTCGTTAGGGGGTCTGAAAAGTCATTGAATCTAACAACAAAGTCGCTAGGTTTGCAACTACGTGTCCCAGACTGCATCCCTGCTGAGAGTCCCTCCCTCCCTTCTCATGTTGCAGGAAGAACGTAAGCGCCCGCCCCTTGTCAATCACTCACCATATAATTTTGGATTGGTTGTTGTGGTGAAGTTTTCCACCAATAGGAGAGATGTTGTGGTGTGTTTTTTTTTTCCTTTGGCAAGCCTTTTCCGCCTGTAAGAGCTGTCGCTAATGTCTGCATGCTATGTTTTCCTGTCTCATACAGCGGGATCGAGCGCCGAACGTGATCAAAATAAGCAGAAAAAAAGTATCGCGGACATAATTTATCATAACTCTGGTTTTATTTGGCCTATCAACACAATTTAAAAACTGGTATATAGGTTGAGGTCCTCACTTTTGAGATAAGTTGAAACGGAGAGTCAACGAGGCTCCGTCTTGCAGCTACATCCGGTTAAATATGTAATGTGACTTGAACGCTGGGGAGCGTCAATCGACTGCAGAGCCAGCAGACAAAGTAGTTGTGGCCACTGAAAGGCACATATTTGTCATATGCTATAATCCTAACATATTTTAATGCTTTTTCTATTTAAACCTAATGGATCTAAGGTTTGACCTTCAAAATTTAGGAAGAATATGTTTTTGCAGTAATGACCCCGTTAAACAACCAGAGGTCCTTTCCTAAAGTTTATGGAAATTTTAGTGAAGGCCTTGGTTTCTTTCCTTGCAAAATGTATAGAAATAATAAAGCTAAATTCCATAAAATGGTCTTGGCGTATTAGCAGTGATATAAAATAGTGGTTTGAATATGAATGAACAACAACAAAAAAAAAAACATCAACAGAGCCTTTTTGAGTTGGGATTCTTTCATTATCACACAAAAACAGACATAGACAGACATCTAAAAGGTAAGGGAATGATCAGCCCTCCTAACTCTCAGATGAATCTTCAAAATTCACCTCAGAAATATGCTTATTATTCTTCTCAGAGTACTGCAGGATATACACACACACACACTCAGAGTCTTTTTTTTAGCACCTGCAAAAACATGCTATTTACATATTTGACTAGAATGCAGAGGCCCCTTTTTGCCCCTGAAAAAAATCAAATTTCAAACACAACTTGACTGCTCATTTCTCCAAAAGACAACCATGAAGCTCCATCCAAACCTGAAGCAGGCAGTTGGTGCATGTGTATAGTCACCTGAGGGGAGTGAGGTGACTACTTCTGAGGAGAACATGAGCAGTGAAGATTCACCTTGGAGCTAGAACAGGGACGTGCACATGATTATACAGGGGCAGGGGCTCAAGTTTTTTCCAGTCATTTATACAATATTGAAATTAATGTGAAATTAAAAAACAAGTATTAATAGAAAGGTTATGACTGTCCTGTGTAGATGACAGTGATATCCAATAGGCTAGGCACTCACGAGGCTGGCTGTGGCAAGTGTAAGTGAAAGCAACACGCACTGGCAGGAAGAACAGCAAACGCTGATGAAGGAAAGGGTCTTTGCAGTGATGGGCGTTACCAGAGAGGGCGATGGCCAGAGGTAGCGAATGGGACGGGGAGGCAGCGCGTTGGGGGGGGGGCAGCGCGACACAGCTCGGGCCCGCCAGTGCCCCAACGGGGCCCTAGTTCTTTCTTTCTTTCTTCTTTTTCCTCCCCTTTGAACTGGAAAATGGCCCACTTCCCACTGGCGAAAACTCATGAAATTTGGCAGGACGACCGGGCCTGGTGAAAAATTTGATATTCTGAAGTCGCCCAAACAATAAAATGCAAAATGGCTCCATAGCGCCCCCTAAGGTGGAAATTCACACTATTGACTGTCACGCCTGTACGCTTTGTCATATTGACACAAAAATTGACACACATATGTATCTCAATAAGATCTACAAAAAAGTCAGTGCGGCCGTATCTGTCAAAATTACGGTTAAAGGGTTATTTCGCATTTTTTGCCGATCCGCACACATTGGAATTTCGCTAACTCCTCCGAAGGCTTTCGTTCCACCGGCACCACATTTGCTCAGGCCAATCTACACCCCGTGGCCATTAAAAGTTATCAAAATCATGACGCTGCACCCCAAGGTTTAGGTTCTAGGGGGCGCCAAAGATAACACTAAAATCCACATATTTAAAAGTCTTATAACTTTTTATTTTTGTCCTCACTGGCCTCCAAGTTTTCTAGGATGATGCAATGTCCAGCCATCAACACATTTGTGAAGGAATTTTTACTCCCCAAAAGAGCGCCCCCCCATGGCAGGAGAAAAAAGTCCATTTTTTCTTGTCCCCTAAGGTGAAAATACACATTGTTGAGTGTCACGCCTATACGCTTTGTCAAAATGACACAAAAATTGACACACACATGTAACTCAATAAGATCTACGAAAAAGTCAATGCGCGCGTATCTGTCAAATGTACGGTTAAAGGGTTATTCCGCATTTTTTGCCGATCCGCACACATTGGAATTTCGCTAACTCCTCCGAAGGCTTTCTGTCCACCGGCACCACATTTGCTCAGGCCAATCTACACCCCATGGCCATTAAAAGTTATTCAAATCATGACGCTGCACCCCACGGTTTAGGTTCTTGGGGGCGCCAAAGACAACCCTAAAATCCACATATTTAAAAGTCTTATAACTTTTTATTTTTGTCCTCACTGGCCTCCAAGTTTTCTAGGATGATGCAATGTCCAGCCATCAACACATTTGTGAAGGAATTTTTACTCCCCAAAAGAGCGCCCCCCCATGGCAGGAGAAAAAAGTCCATTTTTTCTTGTCCCCTAAGGTGAAAATACATATTGTTGAGATTCACGCCTATACGCTTTGTCATATTGACACAAAATTTGACAATCACGTGCCTTGCCTGGTATCATTTTTTTTTCAGCACAACCTCACCTGTTCGAATTTACAGTTATTTTATCATGTTGACATACTGAATTTACACAATGGACCCAAATTCACACACAAAACATAAAATCCGAGTGGAAAAAAGTAACATTTTTACTGTGAAAACCACAAATATGTGTGATGAACTGTTTTTAAAACTTAAACTTCAAATAAAAATTGTAAACTTCTAAACATATGCAAATTTTTAACAAAGAACATAGTGATTTACCTCTATTTACATCAAAATGCAGGCAATGGCCCAGGCGTTCTTTGTAAAATTATTTACAAAACACTGTATAGTCTCACAAATGTCACTTTTTATTTATGCCACTACAAAAAAACATGATGTAAATGATGCATGATGTAAAACATGATGTAAAAAACTTGTGTAGATCCTCCTCTATGTCAGTCCATGTGTAATTTTTCCATAATTCTTTGTTTTTTGCAGCATTTTTGTTAGTGTAACTGCAGATTGTGCTGACAGTGTCTATGGCACAAAAAAAAAAAAAATTAAAATGCCTCAACATGAACCCCTGGTGGTCTCTGAGGGTGAAACCTGCTAACTGCTGCAGCTCTGTCAGCTTCAGTCTCCCATGCAGAGCTCTGAGCGCATGTGTGGCTCTGCACCCTTAGCAGCGTTGCTAACTCCTCAGTAAGGAAAGCCTGCTTCATGTCAGAGTCTCTAAACTCCAGAAGAAGTCGATAAAAGTCCCTTTCTTTCTAAAAAAAAGTCGTTAGGGGGTCTGAAAAGTCATTGAATCTAACAACAAAGTCGTTAGGTTTGCAACTACGTGTCCCAGACTGCATCCCTGCTGAGAGTCCCTCCCTCCCTTCTCATGTTGCAGGAAGAACGTAAGCGAATGATATCGACAGTGATATCGAATAGGCTAGGCACTCACGAGGCTGGCTGTGGCAAGTGTAAGTGAAAGCAACACGCACTGGCAGGAAGAACAGCAAACGCCGATGAAGGAAAAGGGTCTTTGCAGTGATGGGCGTTACCAGAGAGGGCGATGGCCAGAGGACACAAATGGGACGGGGAGGCAGCACGTTGGGGGGGGGGGGGGGGGGGGGCACACGGCTCGGGCCCGCCAGTGCCCCAACGGGGTCCTAGTTAGGGCCCGAGCGTAGCTGCTAAGCAGCTGCGAGAGCCCTATTATTCCCCAAGTGGTTTTTTAGGGCCCGAGCGTAGCTGCTGAGCAGCTGCGAGAGCCCTCTTGTTCCTGTAGTTTCCTTCTTTTGTTATTATTAGGGCCCGAGCGTAGCTGCTAAGCAGCTGCGAGAGCCCTCTTGTTCCTGTAGTTTCCTTCTTTTGTTATTATTATTATTATTATTATTTTTCCTCCCCTTTGAACTGGAAAATGGCCCACTTCCCACTGGCAAAAACTCATGAAATTTGGCAGGACGACCGGGCCTGGTGAAAAATTTGATATTCCGAAGTCGCCCAAACAAGAAAATGCAAAATGGCTCCATAGCGCCCCCTAAGGTGAAAATTCACACTATTCACTGTCACGCCTGTACGCTTTGTCAAAATGACACAAAAATTGACACACACATGTATCTCAATAAGATCTACAAAAAAGTCAGTGCGGGCGTATCTGTCAAATGTACGGTTAAAGGGTTATTTCGCATTTTTTGCCGATCCGCACACATTGGAATTTCGCTAACTCCTCCGAAGGCTTTCGTTCCACCGGCACCACATTTGCTCAGGCCAATCTACACCCCATGGCCATTAAAAGTTATTCAAATCATGACGCTGCACCCCACGGTTTAGGTTCTAGGGGGCGCCAAAGATAACCCTAAGATCCACATATTTAAAAGTCTTATAACTTTTTATTTTTGCCCTCACTGGCCTCCAAGTTTTCTAGGATGATGCAATGTCCAGCCATCAACACATTTGTGAAGGAATTTTTACTCCCCAAAAGAGCGCCCCCCCATGGCAGGAGAAAAAAGTCCATTTTTTCTTGTCCTCTAAGGTGAAAATACACATTGTTGAGTGTAACACCTGTACGCTTTGGCAAAATGACACAAAAATTGACACACACATGTATCTCAATAAGATCTACGAAAAAGTCAATGCGCGCGTATCTGTTACATGTACGGTTAAAGGGTTATTCCGCATTTTTTGCCGATCCGCACACATTGGAATTTCGCTAACTCCTCCGAAGGCTTTCGTTCCACCGGCACCACATTTGCTCAGGCCAATCTACACCCCATGGCCATTAAAAGTTATTCAAATCATGACGCTGCACCCCACGGTTTAGGTTCTAGGGGGCGCCAAAGATAACCGTAAAATCCACATATTTAAAAGTCTTATAACTTTTTATTTTTGTCCCCACTGGCCTCCAAGTTTTCTAGGATGATGCAATGTCCAGCCATCAACACATTTGTGAAGGAATTTTTACTCCCCAAAAGAGCGCCCCCCCATGGCAGGAGAAAAAAGTCCATTTTTTCTTGTCCACTAAGGTGAAAATACACATTGTTGAGTGCTACGCCTGTATGTTTTGTCGTATTGACACAAAATTTTACATACACGTGTATTTCAATAAGATCTTCGAAAAAGTCAATGGCCACGTATCTGTAAAATGTACGGTTAAAGGGTTATTTTGCATTTTTTGCAGATTCGCACACATTGGAATTTCGCTAACTCCTCCGAAGGCTTTTGTTCCACCGGCACCACATTTGCTCAGGCCAATCTACACCCCATGGCCATTAAAAGTTATTCAAATCATGACGCTGCACCCCACGGTTTAGGTTCTAGGGGGCGCCAAAGATAACCCTAAAATCCACATATTTAAAAGTCTTATAACTTTTTATTTTTGTCCTCACTGGCCTCCATGTTTTCTAGGATGATGCAATGTCCAGCCATCAACACATTTGTGAAGGAGTTTTTTCTCGTTAAAAGAGCGCCCCCCATGGCAGGAGAATAAAGTCAAGTTTTTCCTGTTCATCATTCAATGGCTCAAACGCACTGCTCTCTCGGCAAAAGCGAAAGGAGGAGCAACTTGCCATTTGGATATATCTTAGCTGTGTTTGTGCCCTCACTCATGGTCCAGACTTTTTTCAAATAGGACATGGAGTTTTTCTGCAGCGAGCGCTTTGGTAGAAACTGCGCCTCCCGTTCATTATAATGGTAATTGACCACAAACAAGTGCGCACACCATCTTTGGACCTTGAGTGTGACGCGATCGGGTGGGGGAGGCGGTCGCGCTGGGGGCGGCGTGACACGGCTCGGGCCCGCCAGTGCCCCAACGGGGCCCTAGTTATTATTTTTCCTCCCCTTTGAACTGGAAAATGGCCCACTTCCCACTGGCGAAAACTCATGAAATTTGGCAGGACGACCGGGCCTGGTGAAAAATTTGATATTCCGAAGTCGCCCAAACAAGAAAATGCAAAATGGCTCCATAGCGCCCCCTAAGGTGAAAATTCACACTATTCACTGTCACGCCTGTACGCTTTGTCAAAATGACACAAAAATTGACACACACATGTATCTCAATAAGATCTACAAAAAAGTCAGTGCGGGCGTATCTGTCAAATGTACGGTTAAAGGGTTATTTCGCATTTTTTGCCGATCCGCACACATTGGAATTTCGCTAACTCCTCCGAAGGCTTTCGTTCCACCGGCACCACATTTGCTCAGGCCAATCTACACCCCATGGCCATTAAAAGTTATTCAAATCATGACGCTGCACCCCACGGTTTAGGTTCTAGGGGGCGCCAAAGATAACCCTAAAATCCACATATTTAAAAGTCTTATAACTTTTTATTTTTGCCCTCACTGGCCTCCAAGTTTTCTAGGATGATGCAATGTCCAGCCATCAACACATTTGTGAAGGAATTTTTACTCCCCAAAAGAGCGCCCCCCCATGGCAGGAGAAAAAAGTCCATTTTTTCTTGTCCCCTAAGGTGAAAATACACATTGTTGAGTGTCACGCCTGTACGCTTTGTCAAAATGACACAAAAATTGACACACACATGTATCTCAATAAGATCTACAAAAAAGTCCATGCGCGCGTATCTGTCAAATGTACGGTTAAAGGGTTATTCCGCATTTTTTGCCGATCCGCACACATTGGAATTTCGCTAACTCCTCCGAAGGCTTTCGTTCCACCGGCACCACATTTGCTCAGGCCAATCTACACCCCATGGCCATTAAAAGTTATTCAAATCATGACGCTGCACCCCACGGTTTAGGTTCTAGGGGGCGCCAAAGATAACCCTAAAATCCACATATTTAAAAGTCTTATAACTTTTTATTTTTGTCCTCACTGGCCTCCAAGTTTTCTAGGATGATGCAATGTCCAGCCATCAACACATTTGTGAAGGAATTTTTACTCCCCAAAAGAGCGCCCCCCATGGCAGGAGAAAAAAGTCCATTTTTTCTTGTCCCCTAAGGTGAAAATACACATTGTTGAGTGTCACGCCTGTACGCTTTGTCAAAATGACACAAAAATTGACACACACATGTATCTCAATAAGATCTACAAAAAAGTCCATGCGCGCGTATCTGTCAAATGTACGGTTAAAGGGTTATTCCGCATTTTTTGCCGATTCGCACACATTGGAATTTCGCTAACTCCTCCGAAGGCTTTCGTTCCACCGGCACCACATTTGCTCAGGCCAATCTACACCCCATGGCCATTAAAAGTTATTCAAATCATGACGCTGCACCCCACGGTTTACGTTCTAGGGGGCGCCAAAGATAACCCAAAAATCCACATTTTTAAAAGTCTTATAACTTTTTATTTTTGTCCTCACTGGCCTCCAAGTTTTCTAGGATGATGCAATGTCCAGCCATCAACACATTTGTGAAGGAATTTTTACTCCCTAAAAGAGCGCCCCCCCATGGCAGGAGAAAAAAGTCCATTTTTTCTTGTCCCCTAAGGTGAAAATACACATTGTTGACTGTCACGCCTGTACGCTTTGTCAAAATGACACAAAAATTGACAATCATGTGTATCTCAATTAGATCTACGAAAAAGTCAAAGAGCGCGTATCTGTATAATGTACGGTAAAAGGGCTATTTTGCATTTTTTGCCGATTCGCACACATTGGAATTTCGCTAACTTCTCCTAAGGCTTTTGTCCCACTGACACCAAATTTGCTCAGGCCAATCTACACTCCATGGCCATTCAAAGTTGTAAAAATCATGACGCTGCACCCCACGGTTTACGTTTTAGGGGACGCCAAAGATGACCCAAATATACATTACAGTAGACAAAGTAGTTTTGCCCACTGAGTGGCGCCAAAGGGACTTGTCTGTGGAGTCTGTGAGTCACTATTGGCCGTTTTTGACTACTTTAGATTTTACCTTTATATTTCCTCTTACAAAATTTTTACCTTGCCTTGCCTGGTATCATTTTTTTCAGCACAACCTCACCTGTGTCAATTTACAGTTATTTTATCATTTTGACATACTATATTTACACAATGGACCCAAATTCACACACAAAACATAAAATCCGAGTGGAAAAAAGTAACATTTTTACTGTGAAAACCACAAATATGTGTGATGAACTGTTTTTAAAACTTAAACTTCAAATAAAAATTGTAAACCTCAAAACATATGCAAATTTTTAACAAAGAACATAGTGATTTACCTCTATTTACATCAAAATGCAGGCAATGGCCCAGGCGTTCTTTGTAAAATTATTTACAAAACACTGTATAGTCTCACAAATGTCACTTTTTATTTATGCCACTACAAAAAAACATGATGTAAATGATGCATGATGTAAAACATGATGTAAAAAACTTGTGTAGATCTTCCTCTATGTCAGTCCATGTGTAATTTTTCCATAATTCTTTGTTTTTTGCAGCATTTTTGTTAGTGTAACTGCAGATTGTGCTGACAGTGTCTATGGCACAAAAAAAAAAAAAATTAAAATGCCTCAACATGAACCCCTGGTGGTCTCTGAGGGTGAAACCTGCTAACTGCTGCAGCTCTGTCAGCTTCAGTCTCCCATGCAGAGCTCTGAGCGCATGTGTGGCTCTGCACCCTTAGCAGCGTTGCTAACTCCTCAGTAAGGAAAGCCTGCTTCATGTCAGAGTCTCTAAACTCCAGAAGAAGTCGATAAAAGTCCCTTTCTTTCTAAAAAAAAAGTCGTTAGGGGGTCTGAAAAGTCATTGAATCTAACAACAAAGTCGCTAGGTTTGCAACTACGTGTCCCAGACTGCATCCCTGCTGAGAGTCCCTCCCTCCCTTCTCATGTTGCAGGAAGAACGTAAGCGCCCTCCCCTTGTCAATCAGTCACCATATAATTTTGGATTGGTTGTTGTGGTGAAGTTTTCCACCAATAGGAGAGATGTTGTGGTGTGTTTTTTTTTTCTTTTGGCAAGCCTTTTCCGCCTGTAAGACCTGTCGCTAATGTCTGCATGCTATGTTTTCCTGTCTCATACAGCGCGATCGAGCGCCGAACGTGATCAAAATAAGCAGAAAAAAAGTATCGCGGACATAATTTATCATAACTCTGGTTTTATTTGGCCTATCAACACAATTTAAAAACTGGTATATAGGTTGAGGTCCTCACTTTTGAGATAAGTTGAAACGGAGAGTCAACGAGGCTCCGTCTTGCAGCTACATCCGGTTAAATATGTCATGTGACTTGAACGCACACACAGACACACACACACGCACACACACACACACACACACACACACACACACACACACACACACACACACACACACACTCAGAGTCTGGTTTTTAGCACCTGCAAAAACATGCTATTTACATATTTGACAAGAATGCAGAGGCTCCTTTTGCCCCTGAAAAAAAAATCAAATTTCAAACACAACTTGACTGGTCATTTCTCCAAAAGACAACCATGAAGCTCCATCCAAACCTGAAGCAGGCAGTTGGTGCATGTGTACAGTAACCTGAGGGGAGTGAGGTGAGTGCTTCTGAGGAGAACATGAGCAGTGAAGATTCACCTTGGAGCTAGAACAGAGACATGCACATGATTATACAGGGGCAGGGGCTCAAGTTTTTTCCAGTCGTTTATACAATATGGAAATTAATGTGAAATTAAAACACAAAGTATTAATAGAAAGGTAATGACTGTCCTGTGTAGGTGACAGTGATATCCAATAGGCTAGGCACTCACGAGGCTGGCTGTGGCAAGTGTAAGTGAAAGCAACACGCACTGGCAGGAAGAACAGCAAACGCCGATGAAGGAAAAGGGTCTTTGCAGTGATGGGCGTTACAAGAGAGGGCGATGGCCAGAGGACACAAATGGGACGGGGAGGCAGCACGTTGGGGGGGGGGCGACACGGCTCGGGCCCGCCAGTGCCCCAACGGGGTCCTAGTCTTTGTTTCTTTCTTTCTTCTTTTTCCTCCCCTTTGAACTGGAAAATGGCCCACTTCCCACTGGCGAAAACTCATGAAATTTGGCAGGATGACCGGGCCTGGTGAAAAATTTGATATTCCAAAGTCGCCCAAACAAGAAAATGCAAAATGGCTCCATAGCGCCCCCTAAGGTGAAAATTCACACTATTGACTGTCACGCCTTTACGCTTTGTCAAAATGACACAAAAATTGACACACATATGTATCTCAATAAGATCTACAAAAAAGTCAGTGCGGGCGTATCTGTCAAATGTACGGTTAAAGGGTTATTACGCATTTTTTGCCGATCCGCACACATTGGAATTTCGCTAACTCCTCCGAAGGCTTTCTTTCCACCGGCACCACATTTGCTCAGGCCAATCTACACCCCATGGCCATTAAAAGTTATTCAAATCATGACGCTGCACCCCACGGTTTAGGTTCTAGGGGGCGCCAAAGGTAACCCTAAAATCCACATATTTAAAAGTCTTATAACTTTTTATTTTTGCCCTCACTGGCCTCCAAGTTTTCTAGGATGATGCAATATCCAGCCATCAACACATTTGTGAAGGAATTTTTACTCCCCAAAAGAGCGCCCCCCCATGGCCGGAGAAAAAAGTCCATTTTTTCTTGTCCCCTAAGGTGAAAATACACATTGTTGAGTGTCACGCCTGTACGCTTTGTCATATTGACACAAAATTTGACACACACATGTATCTCAATAAGATCTACGAAAAAGTCAATGCGCGCGTATCTGTCAAATGTACGGTTAAAGGGTTATTCCGCATTTTTTGCCGATCCGCACACATTGGAATTTCGCTAACTCCTCCTAAGGCTGGCGTTCCACCGGCACCACATTTGCTCAGGCCAATCTACACCCCATGGCCATTAAAAGTTATTCAAATCATGACGCTGCACCCCACGGTTTAGGTTCTAGGGGGCGCCAAAGATAACCCTAAAATCCACATATTTCAAAGTCTTATAACTTTTTATTTTTGTCCTCACTGGCCTCCAAGTTTTCTAGGATGATGCAATGTCCAGCCATCAACACATTTGTGAAGGAATTTTTACTCCCCAAAAGAGCGCCCCCCCATGGCAGGAGAAAAAAGTCAATTTTTTCTTGTC